TTGGGGGGGGGCAATTTAGGTCAAAAGAGTCCATTCTAACAAAGGAAATAGAAGATCGAACAGATAGATAGCAATAAAAACTGTAACATAGAGGCTCAGAATAAATTAGAGGAAAAACCAAATGAAATGGATAAACTTTTTCAAGAAAGATTAAGTGTAATATATTATTAAAAATAAAGCAAACTGGATGGAATATGGGGGAAAATGCACCAAATTCTTTCTTAATCTTCAACATAGAAATGCTACCAAAAATAATTTACTGAAACTGGTTACAAATGACGGAGTCACCCATGATTCACATTTTACATTTAAGTCATTTAGCAGACGTTCTTACACTTCATTGTTGTGACGCAAAAATATTAGCAAAATGTATAGCGCATAGAATTAAAAATGTTAGCTATTAAAATCAGATCCAACAATAACATCAAGGGATTAGAAATCCAGGGCTTAAAAACAAAGGTGTCATTGTACACTGATGTTTTCTTTTAAATCCACAACTTGAATCCCTCCACAGCCTCATAGAGGATCTAGATACATTTTCTAACCTCTCTGGATTACAACCAAATTATGATAAATGTACTACATTACGTATTGGATCACAAAAAAATTTAATGTTTACATTACCAATATTTTTCCAATAAAATGGTCTGCTGGTGATGTGGATATACTCGGAATACATATCCCAAATGAAATAAATGATCTCACTCCAATAAATGTTAATAGAAAGTTAGCAAAAATAGATAAGATCTTGCTACCATGAAAAGGTAAATACCTGTCTATTTGTGGAAAAATCACCCTGATTAACTCTTTAGTATTATCCCAGTTTACCTATTTACTTATGGTCTTACCTACGCCTAGAGAACAATTTTGTAAATTATATGAGAAAAATATATAAATTTTTATTTGGAACGGCAAGCCAGACAAAATTAAACGGGCCTATTTATATAATGAATATGAATTCAGAGGACAGAAATGATTAAATATTAAATCATTAGACCTATCACTAAAAGCTTCAGTCATACAAAAGTTATACTTAAATCCGAATTGGTTCTCTAGCAAATTAGTAAAATTGTCTCAGCCCATGTTCAAGAATGGCCTTTTTCCCTTTATTGAGATTACGTCTCACTTTCAGTTATTTGAAAAGGAAATCATCTCCCAAATATCACTATTTCTAAAACAAGCCATAGAAAGTTGTTTTTTTGGTTACTACATGATTCCATATGTGCAGTGGTGGAAAAAGTACTCAATTGTCATACTTGAGTAAAAGTAAAGATACCTTAACAGAAAATGACTCAAGTAAAAGTGAAAGTTACCCAGTAAAATATTACTTGAGTAAAAGTCTAAAGGTATCTGGTTTTAAATGTACTTAAGTACAGTGGTAGAAAAAGTACTCAATTGTCATACTTGAGTAAAAGTACAAAGTAAAAGTAAATGCTATACATCAAATTCCTTATATTAAGCAAACCAGACAGCACGATTTTCGTATTATTTTTAATTACGGACAGACAGGGGCACACTCAAACACTTAGACATCATTTACAAACACAGTATTTGTGTTTTGTGAGTCCGCCAGATCAGAGGCAGTAAGGATGACAAAGCGTTATATTGATAGGTGCCATAATTCTGTCCTGCTTGAGCATTCTAAATGTAACAAGTACTTTTAGGTGTCAGGGAAAATATATGGAATAAAAAGTACACTATTTTCTTTAGGAATGTAGTGGAGTAAAAGTAAAAGTTGTCATCAATACAAATAGTAACGTAAAGTATAGATACCCAAAAAAACTACTTAAGTAGTACTTTACATCACTGCATATGTGTTATTTCATAGTTTTGATGTCTTCACTATTATTCTACAATGTAGAAAATAGTAAAAAATAAAGAAAAACCCTGGAATGAGTATGTGTCCAAACTTTTGACTGGTACTGTACACTTGGCGACAGTTCCTTGCATCCTCGTAGTTCACTGTTCTGCCATAATCTACCTGAGTGTGTTACCTTCCACGGGAGTGTAGCAGATCCAGATATGCAGTACAGACTGATTCCACAGGCAGGCAGAGACCTCAAACACACATCATAACACAGGATGACTATCCTCTCAGGCATGAAAAATCATAAATACTAATACTCTTACAATCAAAATGGTTCCCAACAAGGTGGACCTTTTATTTCTAAAGACACACCTACAGTATACTGTGGTCAAAGGTCTTTATCTCAAGAACGCTTAGCAACTAAATGGCTGTAGCAGAATGCAAACATTCTGATAAATAAAAGTGGTAACAGTGTGCTGTTTGAGGGGGCATATTAAACTTCTAGCTCTCACACGCCAAGGAGGGCTCAGGTCAAAAGTAGTGCACTATGTAGGGAATATGGTGGATAAGGTGCCATTTGGAATGCAAATCTTATGAATAATTCACAAGGCTATGGGGAGAAGGATGGCCATAGATGGAGTGGTCTTATGAATAGACCCCAGCAGAGAGAAGCCTATGTGATCTACAGTAAGTCAGAGAACAGCACATGGATTGTTTAGCCGAAGGGAACCCCAGTCAGTGGCTGGCTCTATACTCCCACACCAAGGACATTATTCAATCAAAACCTCTATCCCGGTTTCTGGGATGTATGTCGTAAACAACATTGCCCCACTGCAGCAAGAAAGCAAGTAAAAACATACAATATACAATTTCGTTTTTTTTTGTTCTCCCAAATGTTGTGTTGATAACATGAACCCAAATGTGCATTCTTGCAGCATACAAAGAATGTTGTTTTGAACCTGGTGACCAAGTTTGACTTACTAAATAAGGCCTTGAGCTAGTCTACAGCACCAGGTCCGGTCTAGTAGGGCTTTTTCACTGACAACAGACAATGGGCTTGTGAACACTCTCAATCACGTGTGAATGTGAAAAACAAAATTACATGGTGAGGCAGTAGCAATGTTTCCACTGGTGGAATTAGGGTGACCACATCTAAAATGCCCAAATGAGGGACAAGAGAAAGATTCTGCGGGACATTTGCGGAACAGTGGACAGAATAAATTTTTGGGGGCAGGTTAATGGATCACGTTCAAATGGCGACATAGTTCTGCTGTATGAAGGTTACTGCCTGTTAAAGGGGCAATCCTTAGTTGCTACATACATTTTTGGACTTATAAATGAATTATATGTACCCACTACCATTGATTCTTCAAGAATATAACGTATAAATGCCTCATGATAGAGTAATAGTGTTATTATATGGTGCAATCCACTAGTGAGTGAGTTACTTTTGTGCCATTATTATCAAGCAAATTCTTAGTATTGCAAACAAAAATTATGATATTGAAAGCAAAACGAAATATTGCAAGGAAATCATTTTGAAATGTGAAAACAAATGAATGGATGCAAAAAATAAAGTTTTCAGTGAAAATAAAATTATGATAACGCGATGAAATAAAACGCCTCCCTCTTTCCTGCAATTTTCCCTATGTTTGGTTATGTTAACATGGCCTTTGCTTTCGCTGCCTTTCTTTCCAGTTGCACATTTTGGCACATTCATTCCAGCAACACAGCACCCTGTATCCCACTGCTGGTTTGCTAAGCAGGGTAGGTCCTGTTGCTCCCTGGATGGGAGACCAGATGTAGCTGGAATTTACATGTGAAACTTCACGCGTCCGAAAACTGTGTGTCTGACTCGTGAAGACTCTCTCTTTCACTCTGAACAGTCAAAAGGAATTAACTTCCGGCATTTGAAGACCCTCTGCAGTATTGCAGAATTATGTTTTTCCTCTTCGTTATCTACATCCTTTTCAGAATGCACTTCTCCTCGGAATGGGTTGCTCTGTAAGTCTATCAAGTGCATCAGGTCACTCCTGAAATCTGGAGGTCACCCTCCACCACCATACACACCTTCCCATCCTACCTAGTGGGGTCCAGGCTTTGTTGCAATGCAATGATACAGAGAGTAATGGACAGCCACCAGCCAGCCGAAACACCTTTCTTCCGCCCTTAATCACAAGGACTCGTCTCTGCACACCCCCAGTGTTAACAACGAAGTTGGCTTGTCGAGTCTGCAGCACCCATCGCTAATAACCTCGCTTGTCTCAGACTTGATGACCAAGCCCATTCTCCTGATGCTACATCCAAGGAGGGCTGTAGATGTCCTCTGTATGGTCCACTCTCACACAACAGGGTTAGCCCTGAGCTCCTGGCTCTAACCACACAAAGGCTGTCACTAGCTGCTGCTCCCACACTAGGATCAGTGCATTAACAGGCACAGCCCTACACTACTGAGGCACAAATACTCGCAACACCCCACCAGCCAATCAGGAGCATAGGTTCAGCATTTCCACCAATCACAGCTTTGTGTGAATCCTGGGACCTCTTTCTGAAAACATGGGCTTGGCTGCGATAAGGAGGAGAGCATTGCCAGAGGCAAGACTGGCACCTACAGGCCTATACTAAGTAACGCTGGCAAAATGTATCAACTCATTGTACTATTGAAGTCACTTTAAGATTTCCCACTGTTCAATGGTAAATTACTTGATGATACCCACTGATTCTTGAAAAATAATTTAATGAGTTTTAGCTTTATGAGATTAGTGCAACTCACCTTACCCTATCATACAAATCTAAGGTTGTTTTGACCCATTTTTTGTTTACATGATTTACAATGTATAGCTCCAAATATGTTTCAAACGATCATGTCAGTCTCATTGACCTTCAGTCATTCTGAATTTCAGAGTGGTTACCTAAGCCCCATCCCTAAGCATAGTAGCTTATCAAACAAAGTGGCAGGGTCAGGCTGTTGAAATTAACACTTTCAAAGTATGTATTCACTGACATTTAGCAATGAGCTCTAGTCAAATACTTCCCCTATCATCTGTGGCTCTAACCTAAATAATCTAGAATTTGCATTTATCTAAAAAAAACAATGGCCACTCTTGGATGGTATGCACATCCCCGTCACAAGAGGGCGACATGATACTTTGGTAGCTTCATGGGGTTGTATTTTTTTTTTACATTTTCCAAGTCCCATGTGTTTCTATTTTGTAGTATTAGCCGGACCGCTATGTCACGTCTCCGCACATATTTACATTTTAACAAAAAAGACAGACGACAAAGGGGGAGGGCTCATAGCGATAAAACAGACCATCAATCAAAAGACCTATAGGCCAGACATCCACAGCAAACGAATCCCAGGTAAACATTGAAACATATATGTTAGAACTTTTATCACACGCTGTAACGTTAATATACATAAGGGAAAGTTGTACGTATTTTACCAGTTATGGCTTTTTGCATTATCCGACTGTAGTTAATTATAAACATAGGCAGTACCCACGTGGTTTATTCGAGCCGGAGACTGCAGATTCTTTTGTTTAAAAAATCCATAAAAAAACTAGGAGGACGGACAGGCACGAGAGAATCAGGAAATCCCTCTGCGGACGTGTTAATTAGTCACCGAATTAGAAGGAAAGATCGTATGAAGACTGGTTCCTGTAGAGTTCAATGAGCTGGTTACACAGGAATCTGAACAGATTCGGAGTAATGGGTGTGCATTTGTAACAACGAACAGCAAACACAGTTTTTCTATCAAGATATAATTTCGAGTCGGTGTTAGGTTTTTGTATTGACGAAATGTGATTGAGCAACATTGGGCTGTGACTGGAGAAGAGATGGATGGAAAGGTAGGCGGGTTAGGAGTTGAGGAAGACGGGGTGGAGTGGAGTGGCAAAGGGTGGCGGTAGAGTAGTAAAGGTTAAGAAGAAGAGGAAGCCTGAGGAGCCTTTGCAGGTCTTGTCAGAGGAGAGTAGTGATGAGGGAGGTTCGGTTCGCAGTTGTACTGAGGGAAGTGGAGTTCAAGGTGTTGGTGAAATTTAAGGACCAGATTCAGATTGTGTAATAGTCACATGTACAGGTTGCAGGTGTGATTGCAGGGTACTGTGAAAATATTAGGCTTCGAGCTCCAACATGCAGGACTAGTGAAATAAAATAATGAAAATGGTAATAAAAACAATAGAAATAGCACTATATACATAATAACAACGGTGGCAGTGATGAATACATACATTTCCATTATTATTATTTCCATTGGGGTGGAGGCAGAGTAAAGACTGTTGAGGGGGTGGGGTGGAATGACCATAGGGGGAGCAGCAGCATGATCATTGAGTGAAATAAAAACAAAAAAGTTATAATATACATATTAACAACTGCAACAGTGATGAATGTCATTGGGGTGGGGGGGCAGAGTAAAGTCCGTTGAGGGGAGTAGCAGATAGCTGACTAGTGGTGGCTATTCAGCAGCCTGATGGTCTGAGGGTAGAAATTATTGGCCAGTCTTTCAGTTTTTGCCATGATGCTCCTGTTCTACCCACGTCTGAGTGATTGAAGCGGGGAGAACAGGGCATGGCTGGGGTCCCTGATTATCTTTTTTTTTTTTTTGTATCTTATCTTCTTGGTCTTCCTACGACACCTGGTGTTGTAGGTGTCCTGTAGGGCAGGGAGTGTGCACCCAATGGTGCGTTCGGCTGCACGTATCACCCTCTGACGAGCCTTGCGGTCCGCCGCTGTGGAGTTGCAGTACCAGGCTATGATGCAGCCCGACAGTATGCTCACGATGGTGCTCCTGTAGAACCCTGTGAGGGCCCTCAGTGACAGGCAGAATTTCTTCAGTATCCTGAGGTTGAAGAGTCTCTGTCGTGCCTTCTTCACCACGGTGTCCGTGTGGTTAGACCATTTCAGCTTCTCTGAGATGTTTACGCAGAGGAATTTGAAATTATTGACCGTCTCCACGGCGGCCTACGTTGATGAGGTGGAGTTACGGCGGTGAGTCAGATCGCATTGACTAGGGATTTGGAGGGTAAAGTAGGAGAGGTCGTGTCTGCTGAAGTTCTTCGTGATTGAAGTTTGGTGGTGGTGTGTTTAAATGCTAAACCGTATGAGAAGGCACTCAAACTCAAGCAGGTATGTAAACCTGTGGTTGATGGTAGCATGCCGGATCAAACTGGACGGCAGTGGGTGAAGGGGGTTATTACAGGAGTTCCAGAAATTAACATGAAAGAAATAAAGGACCACTTGAAGGGAGGCTCTCTTATTGAGGCAAAGCGCCTTCAAATGGCACGAGATGGGAAGAAGGTGGATAGCTTGTCAGTGCTACTAAACTTTGAGGATCTGGTACTGCCAGAAAAAGTTATGACAGGGTATATGAGTTACTGTGTGCGAGCATACTTTCTGAAACCATTGCGTTGCTATAACTGTCAAAGGTTTGGGCATGTGGCGGCGGTGTGTAAAGGCAAAAGGAGATGTGGTGTGGAGGAGAACATACATATGGGGAACGTGGAGACGGGGTCCAGTTAAAGTGCTGTAACTGTGGGGGTGTGGCGTATGGGGGTTGTAAAGTGATGAAAAGACAGGTGTACGTGCAGAAGGTGAGGAGTGAGTGGAAAATCTGGTAAGCAGAAACAGTGAAGGTGGTAGTTCATGCAGAAACAATCGGGGCACCTAGAAGAACAGGTATTCCAGGGCAGATCGGGATGCAGGTGGGGCGTGATGTAGGGAGCAGAATGGGGGAGAACACAAGAATGGTAGTAGACAAAAGTATGTGGACACCCTTCAAATTAGTGGGTATGGCTATTTCAGCCACACCAGTTGCTGACAGGTGTATGAAATCGAGCACACAGCCATACAATCTCCATAGACAAACATTGGCAGTAGAATGGCACATACTGACAAGCTCAGTAACGTTCAACGTGGCACCGTCATAGGATGCCACCTTTCCAACAAGTCAGTTCGTCAAATTTCTTCCCTGCTAGAGCTCCCACGGTCAACTGTAAGTGCTGTTATTATGAAGTGGAAACGTCTAGGAAGCAACAATGGCTCAGCCGCAAAGTGGTAGGCCACACAAGCTCACAGAACGGGACTGCCGAGTGCTGAAGCACGTAGCATGTAAAAATTGTCTGTCCTCGGTTGCAACTCTCACAACCGAGTTCCAAACTGCCTCTGGAAGCAAGGTCAGCACAAGAACTGTTCGTCGGGAGCTTCATAAAATGGGTTTCCATGTCCGGGCAGCCGCACACAAGCCTAAGATCATAATGCGCAATGCCAAGCGTCAGCTGGAGTGGTGTAAAGCTCGCCACCTTTGGACTCTGGAGCAGTGGAAACGCGTTCTCTTGCAGCATCTGGCAGTCCGACGGACTAATCTGGGTTTGACGGATGCCAGGAGAACGCGACCTGCCAGAATGCATAGTGCCAACTGAAAGATTAGTGGAGGTGGAATAATGGTCTGGGGCTGTTTTTCATGGTTCGGGCTAGGCCCCTTAGTTCCAGTGAAGTGAAATCTTAACGCTACAGCATACAATGACATTCTAGACGATTCTGTGCTTCCAACTTTGTGGCAACAGTTTGGGGAAGGCCCTTTCCTGTTTCAGCATGACAATGCCCCCGTGCACAAAATGAGGTCCATGCAGAAATGGTTTGTCGAGATCGGTGTGGAAGAACTTGACTGGCCTGCACAGAGCCCTATCCTCAACTCCATCGAACACCTTTGGAATGAATTGGAACGCCGACTGTGAGCCAGGCCTAATCGCCCAACATCAGTGCCACTAAAGCTCTTGTGGCTGAATGGAAGCAAGTCCCAGCAGCAATGTTCCAACATCTAGTGGAAAGCCTTCCCAGAAGAGTGGAGGCTGTTATAGCAGCAAAGGGGGGACCAACTCCATATTAATGCCCATGATTTTGGAATGAGATGTTTGACGAGCAGGTGTCCACATACTTTTGACCATGTACTGTATCTTGGGCTCAAAGGACTGACATGGGAAAATGTACAGGATGACCTTCATAAGATTGAGAATAAGTCCTGACAGGAATCATGTGTTGGTTAATTTTCATAATGGTGTTAATCCTTCAATGGAATGCCAGAAGTTTGATGGCTAATGGGCAAAAGTTCAAACAATTTCTTGAGGAGTTACCAGCCAAACCTGATGTGATGTGTCTCCAGGGAACATGGCTTTAACCTACTCTAGATTTTGTATTACAAGGTTATAGTGCAGTCCATAGAGCTAGGGTGGCAGGGGGAGGAGGAGAGTGTGCTACCTTTATAAAGCGGGGGATCCCATATAGGTGTGTGGGAGAGGGAGTTGAACAGGAGTATGTAGTGGTAGAGGTGTGGTTGGGAGGGGGGAATATGGTAATAGTGAACTTTTACAACCCGTGTAAGAGACTAGAGTTGATGGCCCTTGGGAATGTAGAAGGTCAAGATAGGAGACGGGTAATGTGGTGTGGGGATTTTAATGCTCATAGTACGCTCTGGGGAGGGTTATGGACTGATGTAAATGGACAAGTGTTGGAGGAACTACTGGATGGGAAAGGCCTTGTGAGTCTTAATGACGGCCGGGGAATCAGGATTGATCCAGTAACTGGAAATGAATCTGCTCTGGATCTTACTTTGATCTCAAGTTCAATGGCAGGCAGATGTAATTGGGAGGTTTTGGAGGAATCTACAGGGGATAGTGATCACTATCCAATCATGTGTACTGTAGGATTGAGGGTGGAAGATTCAGTAGGAAATGGATTGAGGAGATGGATATTTGGGAAAGCAGAATGGGGTCAGTTTTAGGAGTTGAGTGAACAAGAGCTGTCTCAGGTTGATCTCAGTTCAGATGTAAAACAGTGAATGAGTAAGAGGAGCAATAGTAGTGGCCACAAGGCAGGTGATTCCTATGGGTACAGGGGGGAGAAAGAGTAACGTAGTTCCCTGGTGGACTGAAGAGTGTAGAGAAGCAGTGAAGTGTAGGAACAGCGCTTTCAGAATGTTGAAAAGGTCATAATTACCATCACCTGATTCAGTATAAACAAGCACAAGCAGTAGTAAGGAGGATTATTAGGACAGCTAAGAGGGAGTATTGGCGCTGGTTCTGTGTAACCATAGGCAGGACCACTCCTATGGGAGAGGTATGGGGGATGATTAAGAGGATGAGTGGGGTCAGACGAGATTGGGATAATAATAATAATATGCCATTTAGCAGACGCTTTTATCCAAAGCGACTTACAGTCATGCGTGCATACATTTTTTTTGTTTTTTGTAATGGGTGGTCCCGGAGATCGAACCCACTACCTTGGCGTTACAAGCACCGTGCTCTACCAGCTGAGCTACAGAGGACCACCTCCCTGTGCTGAAAAGTGGGGAGATTGTTGCAGTGAGAGATATGGAGAAGGCAGAGATGTTAGCCCAGGCATTTGTGAAGGTGCACAGCTCAAATAATCTGACAGAAGAGGGGCAGCGTCGGAGAGAGAGGGTCAGAGAAGAACATCCGGGGGTCCTGGATCAGAGAGAGATGGTGGGGGATACATTGAATGCCCCTTTTATGATGGCTGAGATGAAGAGAGCATTAGCTAAAGCTGGGGTAACATCTCCTGGTAAGGATGAGATGTGTTACATCATGATGGCTATTTTCAGTGACCGCAATGGGGAAAGTATTGGGCCTTTACAATAAAGTGTGGCAGGAAGGGGAACTGCCTGGAAGTTGTAAGCAGGCGGTGTGGTGCCAATATGGAAACCAGGGAAAGACCCTTCTAGTCCTTTAAGCTATAGGTCGATAGCGTTGACATCTTATGTATTTAAACTTATGGAAATTATGAAAATGGAAAGGCTGACTTACTTTCTGGAGAGTAGAGGACTAATGTCACCAGATCAAAGTGGGTTCAGGAAAGGCAGGGGAACGATGGATCCTGTACTGTGTCTTGAGTCAGTCATACAGAAGACACAGGCAAATAAGGAGGTGGTGGTAGCCGTTTTCTTAGATGTAGAGAAGGCTTATGATATGATGTGGAAGGAAGGCCTACTCATCAAGCTGGATAACATGGGGGTTGGAGGAAGGGTTTTTAACTGGATAAAGGATTTTCTTTTTGGGCAATCAATACAAGTGAGGGTGGGGAGCTCTGTCAGAAAGCAGAAAGCTATGAGGTAGATAATGGTACCCTCCGGGAAGTGTCATTAGTCCTTTGTTGTTCTCTATTATGATTGACGATGTATTCTCCCAGGTGAGACCTTATTTATTTTATTTTTTACATTTTAGTAATTTTTTGCAGACGCTCTTATCCAGAGCGACTTACAGTTAGTGAGTGCATACATGTTTTTGTAGTTTAAAAAATATATATACTGGCCCCCCGTGGGAATCGAACCCACAACCCTGGCGTTGCAAGCGCCATGCTCTACCAACTGAGCTACATGGCTCCCTTATATTGGGAGGTGGGGCTTCAAGTTTTCAGTTGAGAAAACACATACTGTGTTTTTTTCTAGAAGGAAGGTTGGGGAGTAAATATACTTGAAGTTGTATGGAAGGAATCTGGAGAGGGTGGGAGGGTTTAGGTTCCTGGGGGTCTGGTTTGACATTCAAATGATATGGGCAGAGCATATTAACAGAGTACTTGTCAAAGGAAATAAAATATTTAATGTGATGCGTTGCTTGTCAGGAATGGAGTGGGGAGGCAGATAGAATGGTGTCGAAAATGCTATATATAGCGCTGTTAAGGTCCTCACTGGATTATGGAAGTATAGCATATGGATCAGCAGCTCCGACATCTTTAAAAAAGCTAGATGTAATCCAGGCCCAAACCCTAAGAATATGTTGTGGAGCACTCAGGACCTCCCCGGTGGCAGTGATGTAGGTAGAGTTGGGAGAGATGTCGTTAAAGTTAAGAAGACAACAGCTAGCCATTACCTATTGGGTAAATCTACAAAGACATATGGTTACACATCCTACAAAAAAGATGCTCCTAGAGTGCTGGGAACATGAACACAATCTTAATACAAGCTTTGGGTGGATAGGCAATGACATGGCGAGAGAGATGGGGTTGTTTGGGAGGGAGTTTAGCCCCTCTGTGGTTCTTCCTGCTATCCCACCTTGGTTTCCCCCTCAGCCAGTGATAGGTCTAGGGTTGCTTGAGAGGGTAAGATATGTTGAGGAAGGGTAGATTCAGTTGTAAGTGAACATTTAAGAACACAACTATGCTTTCTTAAGTATATTCACAGATGGATCTAAGGACCCTAAAACAGGGAGGACAGGTGCAGCTTTTAGTGTTCCTGAGTTTAAGGTGGCAGTGACAAAAAGAGTAACGGATAGTTTATCTGTTTACACAATGGAGTTGTTGGCCATACTATTGGCTGCAGAGTGGGTGGAGGAGTAGTCGTCTGCTCTGACTCCTGTGCAGCACTGATGAGCTTAAATTCATTTGTGTCTCAGAGCAGACAGGATGTATTGTATGAGGTTTTGCAGTGTTTGTATAGGGTGAAACAGGTTGGGGGTATTTGTTATGTTCCTCTGGGTACCAGCTCATGTGGGAGTAGAGGGGAATGAGGAGGTAGGTGGATATTATCACGAAGCAGGCTCTTAAACATCCTAATGTTGAGATGGAATAGTCAATTAGTAAAGCAGAAGCCAAGTGGTTAAAAACAAATGGCAAGAGTTGTGGAACAGGGAGAGAAAGGGAAGACACCTGTATAAGATCCATGAAAAGGTGGGGGCAGGGAGGTCCTCAGGCCGAGAGAGAAGGGAGGAAAGTGTAATCACAAGGCTGAGACTGGGACACACAAGGCTAAATAGTACATTGAAATTGGTGGGGAAACATCCGACTAGGAGGTGTGATCAATGTCAGGAGGAGATGGAGACTGGAACATGTTCTATTTCAGTGCCAGAAATATGGGAGGGAAAGGGAGCGATTGTTATTAGATTTGAGGAGTAATGGGGTTGAAGAGCCAGGATTAAGTGAACTGCTGGGGAAATCTTCAGGGGATGTAGTATTTCCCTATGTATTTAGTTTCCTTAGGTAGACGAGAATATTGGGTAGGATTTAGACTTTCACTGTCTCTGGTCCACAGTCCAGTTGGTGGCGGTAATGCACCTTAACATTGGTTGCCAACCGCCATATAAAATCCACAGAAGAAAAAGAAGAACAAAATCTGAAGCGAAGAGGTTTAGCAACGTTTTCATCTCACCTTTTAGTTGGGGAAAGATAACGTTTTTCATTGGTGTATTAGCTAGCTAACGTTACCCAAGATTTGTGTCTTTGTTTAGAAATCGATAACGTACACTAGCTGGCCTTAGTTAGTAGCTGGTAGTAAAAACCGTGCATTTTGTGGCTATTTTCGTATTTTCCCGAACTTTAATAGTTAACTTAGTTGTCGGCTAGGTAGTAGCCACTGATTATGCTTGCTCGAAGACAAAGAAATGCGGACAAGACTGAGTGCTATAATTCATTACTAGCTAATGACATTACTAGCGCGAGTCGCTATGGTTAATCATGGCTAGGATAGGTGGCTTTCAAAGTTTTGTGTACTTTGACCAGATCATTGCAAATTGCGTTGTCAGCAGTTCAGCGAGATGAGTTTGGTTTCGGTTGTATTGATATCACAATTCATGTCTGTTTTGTTTTCGCCCCGACTTTTCTCCAGTGACAAACATTGGCAGTAGAATGGTCCGTACTAAAGAGCTCAGTGACTTTCAACGTGGCACCGTCATAGGATGCCACCTTTCCAACAAGTCAGTTCGTCAAATTTCTGCCCTGCTAGAGCTGCCCCGGTCAACTGTAAGTGCTGTTATTGTGAAGTGGAAACGTCTAGGAGCAACAACGGCACAGCCGCGAAGTGGTAGGCCACACAAGCTCACAGAACGGGACCGCCGAGTGCTGAAGCGTGTAGCGCGAACAAATCGTCCATCCTCGGTTGCAACACTCACTACCGAGTTCCAAACAGCCTCTGGAAGCAAGGTCAGCACAAGAACTGTTCGTCGGGAGCTTCATGAAATGGGTTTCCATGGCCGAGCAGCTGCACACAAGCCTAAGATCACCAAGTCAGGCCTTCAACCAGTCACTGTCGCTGACGATATCAAGGAAAAAATTGTAAGTCCACCTGACCTGCATGAGGTTAAGTCTAACATTGTTCAGATAAAATGGGGGGGGGGGGTTAATGCAAATAGGGAATGTAACGTTATTAGTGCTTATGAAGTGCTAGAACAAAACATTAAGTGAAACGCTGATTGCTGTATTGTCATTTCTGTAGAAACTTGACTTACCTAAAGTCAAAGGTCAACTGCTCATTTTCGGAGCCACCAACTGGGATCTCATCGGAAGGAAAGAGGTGCCAAAAGCACAAGGTATAACCCTGCCCAGTCCTGTACTGAAAACATTACTGCATGCAATACTCCACTCAGTTTTCCCTCAATAGCACTTGTGCTACCAACTTTGAAAGTAGATTTTCCTGTCTATTTCTAATTGCAATCTTTAAGTAATCCTCCTAATTGACTGCAGTATTGAAGTGTTCCTGTTTCTTATCAAATCAAACTTTAATGTGCATTAAAATTGCAATAGACTTTAAATTAAAATGGTGGTGTGTGTGTGTGTGGTCTCTCAGCGGCCTTCAGGAACCTAGGCCAGAACCTGTGGGGTCCTCACCGTTATGGCAGCCTGAGTGACGTGCAGGTCAGCAGTGTGGTGTCTGGGCCCTGTGCTGCCCACAGCCTCCTCATCACCACCGAGGGCAAGCTCTGGAGCTGGGGTAGGAATGCTATACCGTAATAGCTCATAGTTTATACTTACAGTGCCTTCGGAAAGTATTCATACCCCTCAACCTTTTCCACATTTTATTACGTTACAGCCTTATTCTAAAATGGATTAAATATATAAAAAATCTACACACAATACCCCATAATGACAAAGCGAAAACAGGTTTTTAGAAATGTTTGCAAATGTATTACAAATAAAAAACAGATACCTTATTTAAATAAATATTCAGACCCTTTGCTATGAGACTCGAAATTGAGCTCAGGTGCATCCTGTTTCCATTGATCATCCTTGAGATGTTTCTACAACTTGATTAGAGTCCACCTGTGGTAAATTCAATTGATTGGTCATGATTTGGAAAGGCACTCACCTGTCTATATAAGGTCCCACAGTTGACAGTGCATGTCAGAGCAAAAACCAAGCGATGAGGTCGAAGGAATTGTCCGTAGAGCTCCGAGACAGGATTGTGTCAAGACACAGATCTGGGGAAGTGTACCAACAAATTTCTGCAGCATTGAAGGTCCCCAAGAACACAGTGGCCTCCATCATTCTTTAATGGAAGAAGTTTGGAACCACCAAGACTCTTCCTAGAGCTGGCTGCCTGGCCAAACTGAGCAATCAGGGGAGAAGGGTCTTGGTCAGGGAGGTGACCAAGAACCCGATGGTCACTCTGACAGAGTACTAGAGTTCCTCTGTGGAGATGGGAGAACCTTCTAGAAGGACAACCATCTCTGCAGCACTCCACCAATCAGGCCTTTATGCTAGAGTGGCCAGACGGAAGCCACTCCTCAGTAAAAGGTACATGACAGCTCGCTTGGAGTTGGCCAAAAGGCATCTAAAGACTCTCAGACCATGAGAAACAAGATTCTCTGGTCTGATGAAACCAAGATTGAACTCTTTGGACTGAATGCCAAGCGTCACGTCTGGAGGAAACCAGGCACCATCCCGACGGTGAAGCATGGTGGTGGCAGCATCATGCTGTGGGGATGTTTTTCAGCGGAAAGGACTGGGAGACTAGTCAGGATCGAGGCAAAGATGAACGGAGCAAAGTGCAGAGAGATCCTTGATGAAAACCTGCTCCAGAGCGTTCAGGACCTCAGACTGGGGTGAAGGTTCACCTTCCAACAGGACAACGACCCTAAGCACACAGCCAAGACAATGCAAGAGTGGCTTCGGGACAAGTCTCTGAATGTCCTTGAGTGGCCCAGCCAGAGCCCGGACTTGAACCCGATCAAACATCTCTGGAGAGATTTGAAAATAGCTGTGCAGCGACGCTCCCCATCCAACCTGATAGAGCTTGAGAGGATCTGCAGAGAAGAATGGGAGAAACTCCCCAAATACAGGTGTGCCAAGCTTGTAGCGTCATACCCAAGAAGACTCAAGTCTGTAATCGCTGCCAAAGGTGCTTCAACAAAGCACTGAGTAAAGGGTCTGAATATTTATGTAAATGTGATATTTCCATATTTTTTTAAATATAAATTAGCACAATTTTCTAAAAAACAGTTTTTGCTTTGTCATTATGGGGTATTGTGTGTAGATTGAGGGGGGGGAAAACAATTTAATCAATTTTAGAATAAAGCTATAACCTAACAAAATGTGGAAAAAGTCAAGGGGTCTGAATATTTTCTAAAGGCACTGTTTTATTATATATATATATATATATCATAGATGTAATCGTTCTAGCTGGTTTGAGTCCAGGAGAAAGGGTCAATATTGACTTCTTTCTGCCTCTATCAGGTCGAAATGAAAAGGGTCAGCTGGGTCACGGGGACACCAAGCGCCTAGAGGCCCCAAAGTTGATTGAGGCCCTTGCAGACGAAGTGGTGGTGGCTGCAGCCTGTGGACGCAACCACACCCTGGCATTGACAGAGGGTGGCACCGCCTACTCGTTTGGAGAGAACAAACTGGGCCAGCTGGGCCAGGGCAACCAAACTGATGCAGGCCTCAGTCCAGCCCCGGTAAGCAACATCAACCTCCCTATTCATCTGCTTCATTATTGTTGCTGCTTTATTATAGGTTTAATATGGCCACATGGTGAGCCTGTGCTTATCAAAGCTTCTCCTTGCCCCTCTCAGATCCAGTACGATGGGCAGCCCTTGGTCAAGGTGGCGTGTGGGGCAGAGTTCAGTATGGTGGTGGACTGCAAAGGGAACCTCTACTCGTTCGGCTGCCCAGAGTATGGCCAGCTAGGTATGTCCTCAACTAACGAGCAGGACTGGACAGATTTCAACTTTTTTTTAAAGTTTCACCGAAGTTTCTCTTTAAAGACGAAAGTTTCTCCAATGACACATTTAAAGAATCACAATGACCCCTTCAAAGATCATTCTAGATCAAACACTGGCGTAGGACTTATTTTTACCTTGTGTTTTGGGTCACAGGACACAACTCTGACGGCAAGTTCATTGCCCGCGCCCAGCGCATCGAGTTTGACTGTGAGACCGTTGCACGCCGCGTGGCCATCTTCATCGAGAAGAGTAAGGACGGCCAGGTGACACCTGTACCTAACGTGGTGGTCCGCGACGTCGCCTGCGGAGGCAATCACACGGTGAGGAGAGAAGACCAGAACCCATATTCAGTCTTGGAGAAAGAATGCTGATCTAGGACCAGTTTGGCCTTTTAGATCATAATGAATAAGATTACATGTACATGAGGGACCTGATTCTAGATCAGCACTCCTACTCTGAGACGCTTTATGAATACAGGCTCTGATCCCTGTTGTCACAAATACAGACATTTGCATTTTAGAAACAGAAATCGAACAATGATATTATATTAGTGATGTCCCCCCCCTTTGCATAATTGCTGAATGAAGAGCATTTGAGTAATGTAAGACACTCTTATCCAGAGCAACCTACAGCGTTCCCTTCATGTTTGACTAATGAACTTGCAGATGGAGACGCTAAAAGGGAGCTGATAACATTTGGTACCAGCCTGTGTTTAAAGGGATAGTCCACTCAAAGTATGAGTTTTTACTTGCATTGGCTGTAGTTGATTCGCAAAGACAGGTATATATATTTTTCTCTCACTTTTGTTTTGTTAGCGTGAGGTATGTAAACTGTGTGTGTGTGTGTGTCCAGCTGATATTGGACTCCCAGAAGCGGGTGTTTTCCTGGGGCTTTGGTGGTTATGGACGGCTGGGTCACACGGAGCCGAAGGACGAGATGGTGCCCAGACTGGTGAAGCTCTTTGACTTCCCCGGGCGCGGGGCATCCCAAATCTACACTGGCTATCAGTGCTCCTTTGCTGTAAATGAGATGGGTATGGGACACAATGCTTAACCCCTTGGAATGTCGCACTGATGAGTAAATCTCTTTAGAATTTATTTTATTATCAATTTAATACCACTATAAACCAAGAATACTACCATTACTTCCCCAAGTCTGTGTTGTGCTACCAGATATACACTGGGTGTACAAAACATTGCTCTTTCCATGACAGACTGACCAGGTGAAAGCTGTAATCTCTAATTGGGGTCACCTGTTAAATCCACTTCAATCAATGTAGATGAAGGGGAGGAGACGGGTTAAAGAAGGATTTTTAAGCCTTGAGACAATTGAGACATGGATTGTGTATGTGTGCCATTCAGAGGGTGAATGGGCAAGACAAATGATTGAAGTGCCTTTGAACGGGGTATGGTAGTAGGTGCCAGGCGCACCGGTTTGAGTGTGTCAAGAACGGCAGTGCTGCTGGGTTTTTCACGCTCAACAGTTTCCCATGTGTATCAAGAATGGTCCACCACCCAAAGGACATCCAGACAACTTGACACTACTGTGGGAAACATTGGAGTCAACATAGGCCAGCAGCCCTGTGTAACGCTTTCGACACATTGTAGAGTCCATTCCCCGACGAACTGAGGCTGTTCTGAGGGCAAACGGGGGGTGCAAGTCAATATTAGGAAGGTGTTCTTAATGTATTGTACACTGAATGTATATTGTAGTGATTTCAAGGGGTATCCCAAATGGGATTTGAACCTAGCATCTGTCAGTCTAACACTGTAGCCATTACGCTAAGAGTTGGACACTTTTGCCAAGGACACTGGTGTTTTTAATAAGGAAGCTACAATATTAACATTTTGTGTGCAGGAGGGCTGTTTTTCTGGGGTGTCACCAATACTTCGCGGGAGTCTACCATGTACCCCAAGGCAGTGCAGGACCTGTGTGGCTGGAAGGTCCGCAGTCTGGCATGCGGGAAAAGCAGTATCGTTATCGCTGCAGACGACAGCACCATCAGCTGGGGACCCTCACCCACCTTTGGCGAGCTGGCAAGTTTTTAATCATAATTAATTGGTGTATGTATAAAGGCCATTTCTCACACCCAAAGTGCTATACAATTATACATTGAAATAAAAAATCCCAGACATTTTCCATATGCACAAAAATCTTATTTCTCACAAATTGTGCACAAATTGACAGGTGTGGCATATCAAGAAGCTGAATAATTAATTATGATCATTATACAGCTGCACCTTGTGCTGGGGACAATGAAAGGCCACTTCAAAATGTGCAGTTTATAGTTACACAACACCATCCTACAGATGTCTCAAGTTTTGAGGGAGGGTGCAATAGGCATGCTGACTGCAGGAATGTCCACCAGAGCTGTTGCTCTGCCCAGTCATGTGAAATCCATAGATTAAAGTCTAATTTATTTATTTCAATTGACTGATTTCCTTATGAACTGTAACTCTGTAAAATCTTTGAAATTGTTGGATGTTGCATTTCATATCTGTGTTCAGTATATAAATGTACTTGTTTGCTCAAAAGACTGCTGAATTTGTGCACCTGTTCTGGCTTCTCAACCCATTATGACATGGGTTTGTGTTTGTTACAGGGATACGGAGACAACAAGGCCAAGTCCTCCACTACTGCTCAGGAGGTGAAGACCCTGGATGGAGTTTACGCTGAACAGGTGTGGAGCAGCAACTTATAGTGAAAACAGTTTTCTGTAGATGGGAACTGCATTTAGGTGCATGTTCACTCTTTGGGCCAAAACACTGTGGTGTTTGCTTGCAGGTGGTAATGGGATACGCACACTCCCTGGTCATCGCCAGACAGGATACTCCACAGGAACAAGAGACGCTCAAGAAGCTGCCAGAGTACAACCCACGCACGCTCTGATGGGGCACCATCCAGCCACCTTACCGTTTGTTTTTCCCCAGAGACAACAGATTCTCTCCAGAAGCACCTGCCCTTTAGGTCATGATGGATGGCTGGGGAGGATGGGCTCTCATGAATATGTATGCATACACTTTGGAAAAACAAGTCAGTTCTTTTTTATGTTTGTTCCCAATTTTGTTTGACTTTGTTCATGAAGTCCATGGCAGTATTAATGTTTGTCAGGTCAATCTGTGTGCATTGTCAGAACACAATCAGGATCTGAGACATTGTGCCAAGTTGATGCTCTCCGGCCATTGACTTCTGTTACATTCCTTGGTTTGTCTCTACACTTGTATGATTAAATGTTGCTGTTGAGGATGCGCAACTGTCCCTCAAAGGCCAGTGTCTGCTTGTTGTCATTCCTGCCCTTTTTCCCAGTGACTCCTTTTAGCCTGGGAAACCAGTTGTGGGCACTGCAGTCTTGGCAATAAAAACCAGCATGAATGCGATTTTGCAAGTACTTGAGTTGTGTGCCTCTGTTAGTGCAAATGGTCAACACGGTGTGGTTATCCAGTTTTAAATAAATACCTTTTTCTAAATTTGTTTTGGTGTCTGGGTCAGAAGGCCCACGTTTTAAAATGTCAATCTTGTAAATGGTAATAAAGGTTGATTTTGTTCTGACTTTGACCCCTACCTCCACTGCTTCAAGGGGGGTTAAATGCTATTGTTAGTCAGTAAATCTTATCACTGCTGTCGACAGCCTGGTTTTGACCACTGTTGTATTTACGTAGCAGTTAGTATGTGTACATTTGCTGACCAATCATCCACCGTGTTTTGCACGAGCTAGGAGTAGATGACTGGGATCGTACAGATGGGCAAGTTTCTTGTACGTACCGATGATGTACTCCATGGGTTGATTTCGGGCCACACTTCTAGCACCAATCTGATTCAACTCATGCTGACAAGCAAATTTCCCCATTTACCAATGAGCATATCACACCTTACACATGTTCTGAGTTGCCAAATACTTGAGATTCATGATTTACAGATGGTTATGCTGGATTAAAATTCTGGTAGGTTGACTTTTGTCTGCATTTTGGGAGTTATGGCTAGCTTAATCTACAGTGCCTTCAGAAAGTATTCACCTGTTGACTTCTTCCACATTTCGGTTTCATGTTTCAGCCTGAATTTAAAATCTATTAAATTTTTTTGTACAAATTAAATGAAAAGCTGAAAAGTCTTCATTAAATAAGTATTCAACCCCTTTTATGGCAATCCTAAATAAGTTCAGGAGTAAAAATGTGTATAATATGATTCTTTAATGACTGCCTCATCTCTGTACCCCACACATACAATTATCTGTAAGGTCCCTCAGTCGAGCAGTGAATTTCAAACACGGATTCAACCACAAAGACCAGGGAGGTTTTCCAATGCCTCGCAAGGGGCACTTATTGGTAGATGGATAAAAAAAAAAGCAGACATTGAATATCACTTTGCATGGTGTATCAATACAGCTGCCGGAGCAGAGGAAGGAAACCGCTCAGATTTCACCATGAGGCCAATGGTGATTTTTAAAACAGTTTAATGGCTGTGATAGAAATCTGAGGATGGATCAACATTGTTACCCCACAATACTAACCTAGTTGACAGAGAAAAGGAAGCCTGTACAGAATAAAAAATATTCCAAAACATGCATCCTGTTTGCAACAAGGCACTAGATACAGCAAAACATTTTAAATGTTTGTGGCAAATCCAATACAACACATTATCGAGTACCACTCTCCATATTTTCAAGCATAGTGGTGGCTGCATCATGTTATGGGTATGCTTGTAGTCATTAAGTACTGGTGAGTTTTTCAAGAGAAAAAAAATAAACGTAATGGAGCTAAGCACAGGCAAAATCCTAGAGGAAAACCTGGTTCAGAGTGCTTTCCACCAGAAGCTGGGAGTTGAATTCCCCTTTCAGCAGGCCACTAGCCTAAAACAAGGCTAAATCTACACTGGAGTAATTTACCAAGAAAACTGTGAATGTGGCCGAGTTACAGTTCGGACTTAAATCTGCTTGAAAATCAATGGCAAGACCTAAAAATGGTTGTCTAGCAATGATCAACAACTAATTTGTCAGAGCTTGAAGAATTTTAAGGATAATGCGCAAATGTCACAATCCAGGTGTGGAAAGCTCTTAGACTTTTAGCCAGAAAGACTTCTACAAAGTATTGACTCAGGGGTCTGAATACTTACGTAAATGAGCTCTCTCTGTATTTATTTTTCAATACATTTACAAAAATGTCTGAAAACATGTTTTCACTTTCTCCTTATGGGGTAATGTGTATATGGGTGAGAAAAAGTACATTTAATCCATTTTGAATTCGGGCTGTAACAAAATGTGGAATAAATCCAGGGGTATGAATACTTTCTGAAGGCACTGTACTGCATCGTCACAACCATTTTGAGTGATCGTCACCCACAGATAGGGTGTATTCAGTAGTGCACACCGCAGCAAAACGTTTTGCAATGAAAATGAGTTTCTTGTTGGACAAATTCAGCTAGGTCCCTCCCTGTTTTAGACCATTTGCTTCCTAGTGAATACACCCGTTCCATGTCTCGTCACCATAGAGAAAAAAGAAAACGGGAGTACTCTTTAAGAATTTATTGAATGTACAAAATCCAGAAGACGAGGTTTAATCCTCATCCTCTTCCTCCTCCTCATCCTGGTTGATCTGGAAGTAGCGTAGCTCGTAGCTCTCCTTGGTGTTGGCCACAACACGCAGCCAGTCGCGAAGGTTGTTCTTCTTCAAGTACTTCTTGGTCAGATATTTCAGATATCTGCAGAAAGGAGACAGACGACATTCAGATGTGAGAGGTTGGGCTTTTTCCCCCAATGCAATACACATACAAACTTAGTAAAGCTAATTATATATATATATACAGTGAGGGAAAAAAGTATTTGATCCCCTGCTGATTTTGTACGTTGGCCCACTGACAAAGAAATGATCAGTCTATCATTTTAATGGTAGGTTTATTTGAACATTGAGAGACAGAATAACAACAAAACAATCCAGAAAAACACATGTCAAAAATGTTATAAATTGATTTGCATTTTAATGAGGGAAATAAGTATTTGACCCCTCTGCAAAACATGACTTAGTACTTGGTGGCAAAATCATTGTTGGCAATCACAGAGGTCAGACGTTTCTTGTAGTTGGCCAGCAGGTTTGCACACATCTCAGGAGGGATTTTGTCCCACTCCTCTTTGCAGATCCTCTCCAAGTCATTAAGGTTGAGGCTGACGTTTGGCAACTTGAACCTTCAGCTCCCTCCACAGATTTATGGGATTAAGGTCTGGAGACTGGCTAGGCCACTCCAGGACCTTAATGTGCTTCTTCTTGAGCCACTCCTTTGTTGCCTTGGCCGTGTGTTTTGGGTCATTGTCATGCTGGAATACCCATCAACGACCCATTTTCAATGCCCTGGCTGAGGGAAGGAGGTTCTCACCCAAGATTTGACGGTACATGGCCCCGTCCATCATCCCTTTGATGCGGTGAAGTTGTCCTGTCCCCTTAGCAGAAAGACGCCCCCAAAGCATAATGTTTCCACCTCCATGTTTGACAGTGTGAATGGTGTTCTTGGGGTCATAGGCAGCATTCCTTCTCCTCCAAACACGGCGAGTTGAGTTGATGCCAAAGAGCTCGATTTTGGTCTCATCTGACCACAACACTTTCACCCAGTTCTCCTCTGAATCATTCAGATGTTCATTGGCAAACTTCAGACGGCCCTGTATATGTGCTTTCTTGAGCAGGGGGACCTTGCGGGCACTGCAAGATTTCAGTCCTTCACGGCGTAGTGTGTTACCAATAGTTTTCTTGGTGACTATGGTCCCAGCTGCCTTGAGATCATTGACAAGATCCTCCCGTGTAGTTCTGGGCTGATTCCTCACCATTCCCATGATCATTGCAACTCCACGAGGTGAGATCTTGCATGGAGCCCCAGGCCGAGGGAGATTGACAGTTATTTTGTGTTTCTTCCATTTGTGAATAATCGCACCTACTGTTGTCACCTTCTCACCAAGCTGCTTGACGATGGTCTTTTAGCCCATTCCAGCCTTGTGTAGGTCTAAAATCTTGTCCTTGACATCCTTGAAGAGCTCTTTGGTCTAGGCCATGGTGGAGAGTTTGGAATCTGATTGATTGATTGCTTCTGTGGACAGGTGTCTTTTATACAGGTAACAAACTGAGATTAGGAGCACTCCCTTTAAGAGTGCGCTCCTAATCTCAGCTCGTTACCTGTATAAAAGACACCTGGGAGCCAAAATTATTTCTGATTGAGAGGGGGTCAAATACTTATTTCCCTCATTAAAATGAAAATCAATTTATAACATTTTTGACAAGCGTTTTTCTGGATTTTGTTGTTGTTATTCTGTCTCTCACTGTTCAAATAAACCTACCATTAAAATTATAGACTGATAATTTCTTTGTCAGTGGGCAAACGTACAAAATCAGCAGGGGATCAAATACTTTTTTCCCCTCACTGTATATATTACATACATACACACACACACCTCAGCCCAACTAAATGAATCACAAAAACCCAGCTCAGGTTGAAGAATGATAATTTAGCACAGTCACATGCGGTAGAGTCCTGCATCGGATTGGATATCCGCGTTTGACCTGCAAAAAAAAAAAAATCTGCTGGCCGGTGGAATAAAAACAGTATTTCAACCCGTGGGTTGGCTCACGGTTCCGAACAATTATTGCGGGTTGGAAACTTTTTTAAATCAAGATAATCTTTTTTTTTACAAACCCAGGAGCTTGTTGTGTTGCGAATTCCATTCTGTGAGCGGTGAGGCAGAGATATAGACTACCAGCAATGCCCATAGTGGATCAGGGAACTGTCCATTATTTGTGTGATAACAAAACTTATATGTTTCATCCCCCCATTTAAGAATATGTTGCCAAGTGTACTTTCCCTGGCTAGCGTAGCTCACGCAAAAATGGCTAACGTAGGCCTAACCGGAAGAAATTAAAAGAAAGGTTATGAAATACACCATCTTGGAAACAGGTGCTGCGTGAGTTAAATACCCGGTTTGGAAGGATTTTGGAGTCATTGTGGAGAAGAACAACAACCCGGTAGATGGCAACACAGCATGCAAAAAGTGCAAGCAGGTATTTGTTTACGATAGGCTAATATAGTTTATGATCAGTTAATTATAATGTTAAATCAGGCTTTCGTTCATTTAGACCATACGCATGCCATATCAAGTTTAAACCGGTGCGGCTGGTAAATGTTTGAGTATAGCCTACTAAAATGCATTTCTGCAGCCTATAATCGATTCTGGGAATTGTTTAAGTTCAATTAAACTATTTGATTATCTAAACAATATTGAATGTAAAGCTTTGTCAGCTATAGTCTTTAATTAGGTAAGAAGGCTAATTAGAAGGCCCTTTTTCCCCCCAGAGTAATTTCAGTTGTCAATGTGCCGCATTTCATTGTGAAAATAAAATTGTGTCGTTCATGGCATAGTTTCCTTTTATCCAAATGTTGAACAGACATGCAGACCAATTCATGCAGGGAGGGGAATAGCAGCCTCGGCTACTATAAAATGTATAAAATAACTTGATGTTTTTCGGCGGGTCACGGATCGGCCCTCAGAACAATTCTATTCAGTTGGGTTGGGTTGCGTTGAAAAATCTGTCCTGATGTCGGGTATTGGGTGGGGCTCGGAATTGACGTGGGGTGGGTGCGGCTCCAAACAACTGACCCGTGCAGGTTAGGGGAGTCACCGGCAGGGGTGGCTAAACTGGACAAGGAAGTCTGAGGGAAAACTCTTTCACTGAGTATACAAAACATTAAGAACACCTATATTCATGACAGACTGATCAGAGGAAAGCTATGATCCCTTATTGATGTCACTTGTTAAAACCACTACAAGGGGAGGAAACAAGATGAAGGGGAGGAAACAAGTTCAAGAAGGATTTTTAAGCCTGGAGACAAAAAACTCAATATTATGAAGGTGTTCCTAATGTTTGGTATACTCAGTGTATATTTAATGCACATGTTGTTACTGGTGCATATCAGATGCAGCAGATAAACAACCCCCGTATGTTATGCCTTAAGTGGAGTTATTAATTGTTGAATTCTACATAGCCAAAAGTCAATATTGGCATCTACCTAGACAAAGATTACAGATATATTTGTATTTATTATGGAACCCCATTAGCTGCTGCCAAGGCAGCAGCTACTCTTCCTGGGATCCAGCAAAATTAAGGCAGTTATACAATTGTAAAAACATTACAATACATTCACAACACACCAAGTGTGTGCCCTCGGGCCCCTACTCCACTACCACATATCTACAACACAAAATCCATGTGTACGTGTGTGTGTATGCATTTGTCTGTGCCTATGTTTGTATTGCTTCACAGTCTCCGCTGTTCCATAAGTGTATTTGTATCTGTTTTTTTAAATCTAATTTTACTGCTTGCATCAGTTACTTGATGTGGAATAGAGTTCCATGTAGTCATGGCTCTATGTAGTACTATGCGCCTCCCATAGTCTGTTCTGGACTTGGGGACTGGGAAGAGACCTCTGGCATGTCTTGTGGGGTATGCATGGGTGTCCGAGCTGTGTGCCAGTAGTTCAAACAGACAGCTCGGTGCATTCAACATGTCAATACCTCTCACAAATACAAGTAGTGATGAAGTCAATCTCTCCTCCACTTTGAGCAAGGAGAGATTGACATGCATATTATTAATGTTAGCTCTGTGTACATCCAAGGGCCAGCCATGCTGCCCTGTTCTGAGCCAATTGCAATTTTCCCAAGTCCCTCTTTGTGGCACCTGACCACACGACTGAACAGTAGTCCAGGTGCGACAAAACTAGGGCCTGTAGGACCTGCCTTGTTGATAGTGCTGTTAAGAAGGTAGAGCCGCGCTTTATTATGGACAGACTTCTCCCCATCTTAGCTAATGTTGTATCAATATGTTTTGCCCATGACAGTTTACAATCCAGGGTTATTCCAAGCAGTTTAGTCACCTCAACTTGCTCAATTTCCACATTATTTATTACAAGATTTAGTTGAGGTTTAGTGAATTTGTCCCAAATACAATGCTTTTAGTTTTTGAAATATTTAGGACTAACTTATTCCTTGCCACCCATTCTGAAACAAACTGCAGCACTTTGTTAAGCGTTGCAGTCATTTCAGTCGCTGTAGTAGCTGACGTGTATAGTGCTGAGTCATCCGCATATAGGCTATAATAACAAGGGACCTCATTTATCCATTGTAAGCAGTGCAAAAGTTTAAGTAATTCATTAATATTAGCAATTATTTGGTGGTGATGATGTAAGCATTTAGGAACGTTTTTGTAGGTTAAACATGAAAACAAAACTTTTTGGGTGAAAAATACATTTTATAAATCGCGTGTTTAAAAAATAAAAAAAAGAATGAATATGCAAATTCTGTTTGCATTGCAATATTCATTACTCCAGTGCTGAGATGCCAGTGCAGTTACCGTACCTTTTGGAGAAGGGGACCTCAGAGGACACTGTGATCTTGCTCTTGCTCCTCTCAATAGACACCACACCACCTCCCAGGTTGCCAGCTTTCCCGTTCACCTTGATGCGCTCCTGAAGGAACTGCTCCTATAACCATTAAGACATACTGTGTAAGCATATACTTCTAATTTCCCAAAAACAAAATATTTACAGCTGCCCAATATGACTAGTGTAGTGCAGGGTTTCCCAAAGTCTGTCCTGGGGCCCTCCCTGGGTGCATATTTTGTTTTTTGCCCTAGCACTACAGCTGAACCAACTCATCACCAAGCTTTGATGATTTGAATCAGCTGTATAGTGCTAGAGCAAAAAACAAAACGCGCACCCGGGAGGGGCCCCAAGGACCCAGTTTGGGAAACCCTGTTGTAGTGGAAATGAAACTAGCCCATTGGGTTGAGTACATCGGAGAATTCACACCTTCCTCTCTAAAGTTGTGTAGGTTGCTAGCTAGTTTGAACCCTGCTTGGGATGTCACAGAATACACACTGTACATTAGCATAGTAATATTATGTTCAACATGTCGATCCCATGGACTGTAAATCCTTAGATCTGTATATGAATTTGAGAGTGTTTACATTTCGCAAGCACCATCTGTCCCTCAGCTTTATACTCAACCAAGTGACAGGGGTGCCACTGCCAGGCTGAAACACAATTCAGGATTGTGGCTAAAGGGGATTCAAATAAGAAGTGTTTGTGCAACTTTTAAAAACGTAAACATTTTCACTGCAACCAGGCACAGGTATAAAACTTACAAAGTTGGCAGCATCCATGATGCCATCTTCAACAGGGTGGGTGCAGTCCAGAGTGAACTTCAGGACCTGCTTCTTCTTCTTGCCACCCTTGGAGCCTTTGTTGCTCTGTTTCTTCTGCAAATCAGATTAATAGCCAATTAAAATGAGACCGTTCACCAACGCTTCTCCGATTAGCTACCTGTCTAGGTAATTAGCTAGCTAGCGCTCTAAAAGGCTATCCTGCTAGTTCTAGTAGTCAAGTCAGGCAAGTTAGCTAACTGTCTAGAATCTAACTAGCTAGATTTCTACTTCACAACCATATGCGCTACAATCGCTCTCTGACATCAACTAAATTAGCGATCTGTCTAACGTTAGTTAATCCCCAATTCAGAGGAAGCTTTAGTCAGTTAGTTAACCAAACCTATATTTGTATCACTTAACTATTAACTACTGCTGACTACAAAATGAACAAGCAAATGTTAAGCTAGTTTTTGTAGCTAGCTACAACGTGGTGGATCTAGGCTAGCGAAATTAGCAGGCCTCGTGAATAACAAAACCCAATGCAGTGCCTTGTTTAGCAGTATTAACAGACATAAACCCACCCCCGAGTATGCCACGATTTATAGGAAAATGACACACATTAAAGTACAGTCATTTGAAGTGTTAAAAATGGATGTATTCGGACAATTCTTCACACGCGATTGTACCCACCACAGGAGCCATGGCGAAGAATTTAGCAGAAAGGAAGAACTAGGTTTGCGCGTGCGTTTCATTTCGGCCTATTAAATCAATCACTGATCGGGTCGATACAATCACTGCATCAGAGTTCGATTACTATTGTTTTCAACATAAACAAAAATATTTTATTGAAATCCCATACATTCTGAAGGATTAATTAGTACAATAGAAACAATACATCCTTCTACAAATTGTAATAAATAAAAAAACATCACAAACAAACACTGGATAAGAGCATCTGCTAAATGACTAAAATGTAAATGTAAAAACAACAAAAAACATGTATTGTACAGGCTTTTACATTCAAATACATTTGAAAAGTAGCTATACAATTAGCTACACACCACGGTGATACAGTATGTGAATGCTTCCATACAGCTGTTACATTTTAGCTTGTCTATGAACGTCCTGTCCAGTTGCAGGTGGCACTCCAAAAACCAGAGAATATTCAGAGAAATATTAAATCCACTTTTTGCAGTTCTCGTCATTTTTGCTGCCAAACATCTTGCATTTACCAACATCTTTGCAGGAACTAGTAATTTCTATGCCACGCGGCCGCGGCCAAATTGTAGAAGTCAGAAGGAGCGACCAAAAGAAAGATCTACACACATGCAAGATCTACACACATGCAAGAGGCATTTCTCACTCTATACAAAAAGTGGATTTAATATTTTCTGAATATTCTCTGGTTTTTGGAGTTCCATCTGCAACTGGACACATAAGTTTATAAGAGACGCGTTTCATCCGAATCAAGAAGAAAGACCGTATTGGCAAGAAAAGGTTAGTTGAAAAAATTGCTGCAGGGGCTTTCCACTAGCTACGGCGTAAATCATAGTCCACTGACGGCTGTATGGAATGCCGCGTTGAGGTGCTAGTCGGAAGTAGGAAACTCGGACATTTCCGACTTGCTAATTGGTTGTAGTTATACACCTGTTGCGTTCATTCAGCAAGTCGGAAATTTCAGAGTTTCTTAGTTCCGACTAGCACTTGAACGTGGCAGAAGAGTTCACATATCACGGTTACAATGTGTAGCTACTATCTGGTGGCCGAGTGCCAGTCGATGACGTAGCATGCAACCATTGGTTGATGCACGTAACGTCTGAGCAGGGGAATGTGATCTTCGTCAAAGGGCGGATTCGATTAAGCTGAGCCGCGGGGCACTGATCTATGGCCCGTGACGTGAACGCACAAAAGCGGTGAGGGAGGAGCGCCCTTCTCAAATCGAACAGTAATCTAAGCCACTCGGTAATGTGGTCAACAAGGCAGCATGGTAGATCGTCCAGAAACATACAACATCTCTTTTCCATAAAATATATGTTTGAATTTTCAAACTAGTTTTCAGTGGGAAGACAGATAAAGCGTTTTTAAAAACACAGAATCCTACTCATTACTCCTCTTGCTTAATTATGTCACTTTTGTTTTGAGCCGACTTTGCTGTGGGCTTTGAATGGGGCACCGGCTCATGGCTGGTAGGCAGCCCGGTTCCAAAACGAATGCAATCAACTTTCACCCGGTGCAAAACACGCATACCTGGGCGCCCGGCCAGCTCAGTTTAATAAGCATCATAATGCTTAATGATTGATTAAGCATTATGATTGGTTCATCATAATTACAAATGATGATTGGTCCATCATAATGCCATCGTCATAACCCTGCTTGCTCATTGGTCCTTCATAACGTTGCTCTCTGATTGGTCCCTTCATCATGACAACGTCATGTCATAACCCTGCTCTCTGATTGGTGCTTCATAATGACATTGTCATTACATTTACATTTACGTCTTTTAGCAGACGTTCTTATCCAGAGCGACTTACAGTTAGTGAGTGCATACATTTTCATGCTGGCCCCCCGTGGGAATCGAACCCACAACCCTGACGTTGCAAGCGCCATGCTCTACCAACTGAGCTACACGGGACTGTTCTCTTATTGATCCCTTCATTATGACATCATCATGAGCGTGGCCTCTGATTGGTCCCTTCATTATGACATCGTCATAACCCTGCTATCTGATTGGTCCCTTCATAATGACACTGTCAACCCTGCTCTCTGATTCGTGCTTCATGACATCGTCATAACCCTGCTCACTGATTGGTCCTTCATAACGCTGCTCTCTGATTGGTACTTTAATAATGACATCATCATAACCCAGCTGTCTGATTGGTCCCTTCATTACAACATCGTCATGACCCTGCTGTCAGATTGGTCCCTTCATAATAACATCTTCATAAACCTGCTCTCTGATTGTTCCTTTAATAATGACATTGTCATAACCCTGCTCTCTGATTGGTCCCTTCATTATGACATCATCATAACCCTGCTCTCTGATTGGTCCCTTCATTATGACATCGTAATAACCCTGCTCTCTGATTGGTCCCTTCATAATAACATTGTCAAAACCTTGCTTCCCCATTGTCCATTACAATCAACCTATACAGTTCCTGGGCTATAGTTCTTTGCCAAAAGTTATGTAATGAACTCTGGCATAGTGAGCAGGGAGGCAGACAACAAAGTGACATAACCTTTGACAAATGACAAGATATGCTATTTCCAAAACGAATTTTGATTGCTCAATTGTCCCCTTTATTGTTCCATTCTGAATTAGGAACCAATGCATGACATTTGACAGGAGTCATTAGAGGCTGCAGTGGGGGAAATAGAGGGATTAGAGAGAGTAATGTATTTTGGTCACCTGTTGACAGATGAGTGGTGTCTGGTTACTCTTTTGTCATCCAGGACTGCTGTGCTATGGACACACCTCCTCCTATACCCAGTGAGTGCCCTGGCTTCAGTTTTGATGTCAGGGCCGGCACTCCATCCCATCCAGTCACACGAAAAGACCCTTCACATATCTGTAATTCCTGCTTGGGACAGCAGCTAAGGCAGCAAGCAGCAAGGTAACGGTTCAGCTTTACTCCCATATTCTTATATTATTAATTAAGTAACTGCTTCTTAACCTATTAAGTATATGCTTAAAAGAAATGTACTTTAATGTACTTCCATCGAGTTGAAGGTTGGGAGTACTGATTGATTATTGACTTCCCTGGAATAGTTTAAATTATACAGTTGAAGTCGGAAGTTTACATACACCTTAGCCAAATACATTTAAACTCAGTTTTTCACAGTTCCTGACATTTAATCCTAGTAAAAATTCCCTGTTTTAGGTCAGTTAGGAGCACCACTTTATTTTAAGAATTTGAAATGTCAGAATAATAGTAGAGAGAATGATTTGTTTCAGCTTGTATTTCTTTCATCACATTCCCAGTGGGTCAGAAGTTTACATACACTCAACTAGGATTCGTTTTACTGTGGGTATAGATATTTTTGTACCTGTTTCCTCCAGTATCTTCACAAGGTCCTTTGCTGTTGTTCTGGGATTGATTTGCACTTTTCGCACCAAAGTACGTTAATCTCTAGGAGACAGAACGCGTCTCCTTCCTGAGCGGTATGACGGCTGTGTGGTCCCATGGTGATTATACTTGCGTACTATTGTTTGTACAGATGAACGTGGTACCTTCAGGCGTTTGGAAATTGCTCCCAAGGATGAACAAGACTTGTGGAGGTCTACAAAATGTTTTCTGAGGTCTTGGCTGATTTCTTTTGATTTTCCCATGATGTCAAGCAAAGAGGCACTGAGTTTGAAGGTAGGCCTTGAAATACATCCACACAGGTATACCTCCAATTGACTCAAATTATGTCAATTAGCCTGTCAGAAGCTTCTAAAGCCATGACATCATTTTCTGGAATTTTCCAAGCTGTTTAAAGGCATGGTCAACCTAGTGTATATAAACTTCTGACCCACTGGAATTGTGAGACAGTGAATTATAAGTGAAATAGTCTTCTGTAAACAATTGTTGGAAAATTACTTGTGTCATGCACAAAGTAGATGCCCTAACCGATTTGCCAAAACTATAGTTTGTTAACAAGACATTTGTGGAGTGGTTGAAAAACAAGTTTTAATGACTCCAACCTAAGTGTATGTAAACTTCCGACTTCAACTGTATGTTGATGTGTTTGTGACAGTATACCACAGTTGATACATCAAGGAATGATTTGGGGTGTGCATTTTCACTCAATCGCTCAAATATCAGCAACATAGATCAGCATCACTCTGATGGGCTTTCCTGTGTTGTATTTACAGATGTCTGGAGGAATCTTCTGCCCTTTGGAGAACCTATACGACCCAGACAGTGCCAACTGCCACCCCTTGGTATGCCACTTGTGCCATGAGCAGTACGAACACCCCTGTTTGCTGGACTGTTACCACACATTCTGCGCCAGTTGTCTGCGTGGCAGGGCCGTGGAAGGCAGACTCTCCTGCCCCCTCTGTGGGTAAGCATGGGTCATTCCATTGATTTACTGGATGGCATGAATCATGGTATAGGTATTTTACTTTCTTATGGAACAAATTCCTTTGCTTTATCATATCAATGACCAACTCAGTGACTTTGTGGTTAAAGTGTACGCCCTAAGATTGGAAAGTTGGGGGTTTGATCCACGGTCGAGTCATACCAAATGGGACCTGATGCCTCACTGCTTGGCACTCAGCATTAAGGAGATGGATTGGGGGTAAGACCCTGCAACAGGCTAGCGTCCAGGGCGTGTACATGTACAGTAGTTTAAGCTGCCTCACGCTACAGAAACAGGAGATAGACTCCTTTCCCTATGGGCCGTTCTGGCTTGGAAAAGGCTAACTTGTTCTAGGCTTACTTCATCATATTAATAGCTATTATAGTAAAATGTCCCATGGACTGTTCAACTCCATTTTCTCCATCCTGTCTGATGTCATTGGAAGGGCTGAAGTATTTATCATTGATGCGTGTACACTGAAAGATACCTAGAACAACATAGCCTCTCCAGTTAGCACTGCCAGGATGAAAGTCTTATGGGATTATCTGGGGGAAATGGACAGCTGCAGTGTAAATCCTGCCTTTGTTTCATCCTGCCTGGCATTGAGAACAGCTTGGTCCTAGATAGCTGGCAACTCTCAGTAAGAAGATAAAGAGAGTTTGGGCACCTTGACATTTGAATGATTGATCCCTCTGGGCTCAGGTTAAGTTAATTGCTGTGACCTCCAGGACTGGATTATGTAACAGTGTTGTCATTATGCAGTACTGTGGATATTGATATGGTAATGTCAGTACAAATGAGTTTAGATGAGATTGTGGTGGTATTTCCAGGATGCCTATGAGTTTATTTTGCCTGAGTCACATGTAGCTCAACTAACAAAACTAACAAAACTAACTAACTAACTAACTAACTAACTAACATACTTACATAACTAACTTACATGCTCTGTAATATAGGCTACATGCTTTGCTTTCTATGACAGCCTGTACATTTCAGATGAAGTATTCATTGGAGGTCTTCTTATGTAAGGGTGAGAGGGTGAGAGGCTACAATGGACCTTACTAAGTGTAGGACAAGCCTAGTCAATCCTCTAGCCCCCCTTTAAACACAGGAAATATGCTTTAAGCAAACTGTTTGTTTGTGACATTCATTCAATTAATGACATGAGAAATCACACTGGTATAAAGCAAAATGCAGTGTCGTTTGTTGCTATTCTTATCATTGACATTACATTGTGTAATCAGAATTCAGAGCGATGCTATTTGTGGCTGTGTTGCCGTGAAGACTAGGTAAATACTTGGTAATGGGAGAGGCAGTAGCCTACATGAGACCAATAGTTCAACAGCTGTAGCATAAGATATCCAACCCATACAGAACAAAGGGTAAAACTTTAAACACAATCACTTTTAAATATATTAGATCGTTTCCATTTACTTTTCAAGGATCTCTTCATTTTACGATTGTTAGTAGCTAAATGTGTTGGATCCTATTTGTATGTTTTGTGTAACCACTCTTGGTTTTGGTACAGACTACAGTCCATTGTCAAAGGCCTAAGTGCCTTACCCCAGGAGGACCGCCTGCTCAAGTTCCTGGTGGATAACTCTACTGACTGTGAGGAGACTGTTCAGTGTTCCAACTGTGATCTGGAGTGCAAGAAGCAGGTATTAAGGATTGATTAACTCTGAATTATTTATTTGGACCTTAACCATGTATGCAAAAATTATCCTAACAAACACAGGTTTGGTTCATACCTGTAGTTTCTGTCTGCAGTACAAGCTTTTGAATATTTTTGTGGTCTTGTGTGTTGACAGGATGTGGATGCAATGTATTATTGCAACACTTGTAGCCAGCCGCTGTGTGGAGCTTGCAGGGAAACAACCCACAAGGCCAAAATGTTCTCCAGCCATGATATTGTCTCCCTTGCCAAACGCACAAAGGAGGCCCACAAAAAGTGTGGTGTGTTAAAGCTCCAATCTTCTTCAAACACAGCTAGATACCTTTTATGGATAAACTAGCAGGTGCACATAACATTTTGGTGAAATCCAAGGCTCTCCAGCTCATATTATCTCCTCTGAGATTCCATTGTAATGACTGTCTCGCTCTGTCTGTCTGTCTGACAGTGACTGACTGTCTGTCTGCCCACAGCCCTCCATGACGAGCTGTACATAATGTTCTCCACAGAGAAGAAATCCATGCTGTGTATCAACTGTTTCAGAGACATGCAAGTGTGAGTTACATTCAGCTCCTATCCCTAATATTTGATCACTTAAATAATTAAATAAACAACCATTAAGCAATTGCTTGTGTGTGTGTGTCCTTCAGGGAGAGCAGAGCACACTGCATTGATATTGAGACAGCATATATGCAAGGCTGTGAAAGGCTGGACCAAGCCGTCATAGTGAGTGCATTCTCTTCATTAACTCTGCATTACCTACTTATTCCATATTGCTGTAGAGTATACCTATAGACAATACATGTGGGCGAACATGGTGAAGTTTAGTTTAGTTTGTTGGGTGTGTGTGTGGTGGTGTCCAGTACCCTCTCATGGTGTCACCCCTGACCCCTAGGCGGTAAAGGAGCTCCAGACGTCTGCCAGAGAGGCCATCATCCTGCTGAAGGCAATGATCGGGGAGGTCCGAGAGAACGTGGATGAGGAGGAGAGCTCTATCAGCACTCTGTTCAACAACATGCAGGTGAGCTGACACAGGCATCGGTCATTTAGAAAACGTTCAACTCAACTCAAAGCTGGAAATGTCCCTCCATTCCAATGACAGTTTTTCTCAATCAATCAACGTTGTAAATTTTTTTTGTTTTAGAATGTTTTAGTTTTTTTGACTAGCAGTTTATTCTACCAAAAGGTGTCACCCTTCATGCCTTATCTCCTAAAGTAGCTGAAAGTTCAATACATTGCACAACATAACATTAGATCAAAAGTTGATCAAATTGGAATGCTCAAGTAGTGCTTTTCATTTACAAACTTAACACTGAGAAGAAATGAATGTACTTTTTCATTGTAATAGTTTTAGTTGGGCAGTATAGTTAATTTCATTTAATCATTTAATCTTGACACAGATAATATTGTCCTCTTTTGAAGGAAAAACTGGCAGAAAGAAAAAAGATTCTTCTGAAAGCAGCTCAAAGGTGATAATAAATTTTGCTTCAGGCTACCTTGCTTGAAAACCAGTTAAGGTGGGCGCCACAGGAGGTTGGTGGCACCTTAATTGGGGAGGATGGGCTCGTGGTAATGACTGGAGCGGATTCAGTGGAATGGTATCAAATACATCAAACACCTGGTTTCTATGTGTTTGATGCCATTCCATTTGCTCCATTCCGGCCATTATTATGAGCCGTCCTCCACTGGCACTGGGCGCAGAGACAATCATGTTTATAATGTAATGTATAGCCTATGCTCAGAGAAACTGTGAAATATTTGGCATTTACCTGTCATTGTTTGAATTGGCCATCCGAATACAGAGCACACAGATTCAGCCTCAATGGTTGCATCTAGCCAATAAAATTCACTGTAAACTCAATGAACTCTCATGGCAGGAAGCTGAATCCCAAATGGCACCCTATTCCCTTTATAGTGCACTACTTTTGACCAGGGCCCATAGGGTAGCACACTATATAGGATATATGGTGACATTTGGGATGCACACAGAGATATTGAACAGGCTAATGGCTCATCTAATGCCTGCCTACGTATCCTGTTCCACATTTATAGATCCTGCTGGGAGATTAAGGTATCCATGGCAGCAGACCAATATAGATAAAAGCCTAATTCATAATAATAATGTGTCAGACTAGCTACATCAGGCTTGCATGGCACCACTTTGAACCCAGTAGCAAATGTTCCAAAAAGCTTTGCATATGCTGCACAAGCTAAAGAATAAGGGTGATAATCACATGATAGTGTTGCTATTGACATGTGGGGCAAGATCATGCATGTTGGTCCAGTTAGATACTGTAAGAGATCCATTTAAAATGGATTCTCTCTGTTTTTAACAGTCAGCATGAGGAGAAAGAGAGAGCCTTCAAAGAACAGCTGTCTCATCTGGCTGCACTCTTACCCACTCTCCAGGTAATGTCCTATCTATGGCATGCCTTTCTATCCTGGAGTAGTGATACACCTGTTGTATTTGTAATCCAAATGGATGTCCCATCTTGAGCAGGTGTAATATAGTCAACTCAAGGCAATGTTCTCTGCCTTTCCTGTCTTTAGGTTCATCTGGTCACTTGCTCAGCCTTCCTAAGTTCAGCCAACAAGTTTGAGTTTCTTGACATGGGATATGTATGTACAATACAGTATGATAAATAATGCCCAATCTGGTTCCATGAATCCAGAAGAGCACACACCAAAACATTAAATGGAATACTAGAAATTGTGAATACAGTTTTTAAGCAAATGTGTTTGACTTTGGTATCTGTTATTCAGCAACTGATGGAGAGACTGAAGAAGATTGTCAAACTTCCACACAGACTGAGACCAGCTCAGAGTAGCAAGGTAAGATAAATAATTAGGTAGGCGCTTATATTTGTCCTATTTCACACATGTACACGTGTGTATTAATATGCATGTGTGAATTGGAAATTTGATTTTTGCATATCCCAACTCCCCCTGAGACACCCTGGGAGAGTGGGGTCACGGCCGGGGTCGGCCATTATCAACGGTGACCCTGGATCAATTAGGGTAAAGCCTCGCTCAAGGCCACAGACAGATTTTTCACATTATCGGCTCGGGGATTCGAACTGGCGACCTTTCGGTTAATGAAAAGACCCTCTCTTGTCATCTTGCCTCTTCAACTGATGTTTGGTCATGTCACATCCCAAATATACATCCCATTTGTCTTCTATGTTTCTGGTTTAGATCAACACAGAGTTTCGGTCCGAATTTGCTCGTTGCCTTGAGACTCTGTTACTGCTGGGCCAAAGACGCTCGGTGTCCATTGCTGGGGGTGTGTCTGGATTGAGTTTGGGCAATGCCAGCGGACTGTGAGTCATATTTCACCCCTACCGTATGGAAATAGTACAGACCTACACGATTTAAGGGAAAATGTCATCAGCATGTTATTGGTGTTCCCAATGAGTGAAACCTCAAAATTCAAGCCAGTATGCTTGTAATTCCCAAATATGCGCTTGTCGTGTTCTAAAATAGCCAGCGGAAATATGAGGACACCCCTGCCTGATGCCCAAAATGTTATGTCAAAATACTGATTTATTCATTGTTTTGTGTAACTGTCCCTCTGTCCCCTCAGCCTGCAGTCGTCCCTGTCCATGCCCTGCCACTCCCCAGCCACCAGTGACATTTCCCTGGGCTCGTCCGTGGTGCGGAAGCCTACCCCCCACCGCTATATCAGCACCAAGGTCCTCCTAGCCGAGGGAGGCGAGACCCCCTTCACCGAGCACTGTCACAACTATGAGACCAGCTACAGGGTGAGCTTCTACAGCGCTTTTTAGTTACTGTACAGCTCTGATACCCATTGTTACAAAATGACAAACACAATGTTTTTGTATGTGTATTTGAAATACATGTCATGAATAGTTCTGACGTTCACTTTAGAGATGCATGGTTTATTGATTTCAATCAAGGCGCTACCTTGATTCCTCTACCCTGATGTAGCCCATAAAAACCTTGTGTTCTCCTGACTCCAGAAGCTGCAGATGTCCATTCAGCAGCTGAAGGACCAGGTGCAGGAGACCCACAGGGATCTGACCAAGCACCACTCCCTCATCAAGACCGACACCATGGGAGACATCCTGGATACCTCCGTGCAGATGGACAGACAGATCTCCTCTGAGTACTCTGCAGTGGAACACATGAGGGCCATGTTTGAGGAGGTGGGAATCACTAAAGCAATGAGGATTATGAAAAAGTATTCACACAACCCAGCTTATCTTTTCAAAGCTAATTTCCATCTTGTTATCCTTCCCCTAGGTCTGGGAGGCAACCTTTCAGAGGGTTGCAAATGAACAGGAAATCTATGAAGGTAAGGGGGATTTTGTTTTTCTGTTAGCTGTGAGATAGATATGGTCAAGTTAGTGATTTATGTACTGCATGTGGCCATTCTGTTTTCAGCCCAGCTTCATGATCTGACGCAGCTAAGGCAAGAGAACAGTTATCTAACCACCATCGCCAGGCAAATTGGGCCCTATATCCGATCCATCGCCAAGGTGAAGGAACGCCTTGAACCCAGGTACTGGAGCACAGCCACTGGAACTCAATATCACAAACTACAATGTCTTGACTAACAAGATAGTTTGGCAAATGTACAATTTACTCTGACAAGGGTCACAGACTGAAGCGTTTGTTTATATCATGGTGACTGTGCAAGACATGGTTTACCATGAAGTATTCTCTTTTCAATGTTCCCACAGACTGAAAGAGCCTAAGGAGCTGAAAGACGACCGTACAGAGGCCATGCTGAAGATCTATGAGGACACCACAGATACTAAACAAACCATTTCAACAACACTGACGTAAGCTAGCTAGGAGATTACTGAATAACTTGTTGGAAGAATTGATCTGATTGATTTGAATGAAAACTATACAACTTCTCTGTTAAACCTCTACTTTTATGCTTTACCTCAACAGAAATGACCTGACCTGTAGGCCTACCACAGATGACAACCACACTCTCAGCAACCTCTCTGATGAGGCTGCCCTCAAGAACAAGGATTTCTACTGGCCAGGGAAGCAGAAGACCACAGAGATAGCCATTTGGAAGGAGATGTCTCCCTAAACAACTGGATAGGGGCATGAGACTTCATCACCAACAAAGTGCATTATATTGAAAATAACTGTGTTCAGGTTGACTTCTTGTAGTAATTTGAGCATGCATCCATTATCCATATTAGGACTAGAGTGCCAACAACATGAAAGTCAACCTAATGTGAGGATGACAATTTTCTTAGGATAAACTTGTGATTTTATTTGACAGGACAATGTTGTTCAATCAATTCAGAAAATGTCAGTAAAGTGAAAAAAGTTATCAATCAAGAGTTAGATAAGTATACCCTCTGCATGATACATTTTTACATTACCTGTAATAAACTGTAGTATTGTCATACTATAGTGCAACACAACTGGCTTTTTCCATGTTCAGCTCAGCTGGATCATGCTTGGAGCAGCAAACTATCATATGTCTGCAGCCAACTGTATGTGCTCTTATATTAATTAATCTACATCAGTATTCATGTAATACATCACTTTTATAGTGCTCTTGACTGTCCTAATTTCAGAAACTCTCTTTAACTCACACACACTCGTCTTGCACAGTTAAAGTGCTTTTGACTGTTCTAATTTCACAAATTCTCTTTTCACTCACAGACATACTCCTCTTGCACTCCATACAGTCTGGGCATACAGAGTGGAGGGCAGAGGCGACCTTTCACCTGAGACAAGCTGTGGTAGTTCAGAAGAAAGCCATGTTGGGTTGAGCTCTCTGAACCCCTTAGCCATAGGAATGCATCTTTTGGTTGGTTTCAATACACAGTGAGCATGAGGAGACAAGCACACAGAACAAATAAATAACAGGTGGAGTGATGATTAAGTGGAGGTAGAGAGAGCGTGTGAGAGCGAATGCATTTTAAAGATGACTATTTGTCAGTGCCCCTATAACTAAAACCCTATGGAAGGAACAACACCCCTGATTCATACCCAGGGACAATTTTAAGACTTACAGCAGACTGGAATAGAACAGTGAATGGATTGTCAGTGTTCATTATGTTTGAATTACTTACAAAGTAGACATTTCTGACTTATTACGCCGTACCGATTGGAGAAATCCGAGAACCAGGCTGCAACTTGCTCAGGTTGTCAAATTAGCAAAAGATTTGTGATTGTACAGCCTTTTGATCCTGAGTGGACATGGGATATGTGAATTTAAAAATCAGGGGTTGGAACTGAAATGATTTTCCAATCGTTTCGTTCTCAACAGAACCACTATTTTATTTGTTCCGTTTCACTGTTCTGACCAGCAAAATAAAGTTCTGAACCGGTTCGAAACCTGTGAAATCAACAGTTTTTCTACATTTAGCTCATTAAATTACCAATCAGCGCGGATAGAGCAGGTAAGCTAGTTGTTTACATGCGTGATGGACAGACAAGCGTAGCCTACGGCGCAAGATTCGACTGAAATTTTACGGGTTGGGAGAGAGCGAGAGGGTTGAGGAGCAGGCTTGAAGCGCTGGGCATCTTGTTATGACATGCATTATCTGAATTAGGTTCACAGAATTATACCTAGGAGGAGAGGCTTTGAATGTCATTTGAGCGTGCTAGCTAACAAGCTTGTGTGTGACGAGCAGCACCAGAATTAAAAACACATCTTACCTTTTTGTAGTTAATAAATCCAATGTGAAACATAACTAGGCCTATAGTATCCTTAACTAGCATTGAAACAGTTAATCCACTCTTCTCTAGCTAATTAAAAAGATCTCTCCCCATCTTCTCACGCTTCTAAAGGTCAGTACAGTAGCCTATGCTTCAGAGGGGGGAGGAGCAGGTAGCCTAAACATGCACATACACTGGCAAAGATTTTCAGTTTGCAGGCAGACGCTGGAATAAGTTTGAGTGAGAGCTTTGCATATGCGCTTTGTTGCGTTTTTTTGTGGGACTAGAAAAAAATGCCTAGAATGTAAAAGTTTGTTATTAAACGGTTTCCATGCTTTTAAAATAACGGTTCTGTTCCGGAACAGTATGGATCACTTTAGTTCCCGATTCCGTTTCTGTTCCTTGAAAAATGTCGTTCTTTTCCGGTTTTGTTCCCTGAACCGTTTCCAAAACGTTTAAAATAAATCATTATTTTGTGTAAGGATGCATCAATATAGAAATTCTGGGCTGATACCTATAACCAATATTTTCTCATGGCATATTTTAACATTTGATTTTCATCAAAAGGCCTTTTTCTTATCATTTATGAAAAGTTAATTAACTTATGGGGCAAAGACCATGTTGCAAGCGACCACTTTACCGTAACTTTTGGACATTTTTGTAAACGTACAACATAGTCACTCAGAAATTAATTATTTACCTACCAGGACAGAATATGTACGAGGGCCGATTAAATTGTGCATCCCTAATATTATGTAAAACTATTGTTGTAAATGCTGAGACCTAGTAATGATGACTTAGTGATAAGCCAGACAAAGAAGGAATAGCAGACACTCAACCAGGCTCATTACAGCACTTCTGATTCAGTAACCCAAGCTAAAAATCAATTCAGCATCCACTGAAGAAACTCAACTCCTCCCTATGGAAAACACAGAAAAGGGAGACATCGGAGATAAAAGAAAGATGAAAAAAAAAAAAGTCTCTAGTAGTCAAACAAACCAAACCAAAGAGGTGGTTGGATGTGTGCAATGGATATACAACATTGGGGGGTGTCGTTTCTTTTTGAGTGAGTCTGTCTATCCAGGCCTTTGGGGAGCCCACCACGCTCATAGGTGTCAGTCTCCGTGAGCTCTAGGCCCCCCAGGGCAGGTGACCACAAGGGCTAATCCACAGTATGCTGACCAGGGCTGCCCCTCACAGTGCCTGTCTGTCTGCCATGTTCATACGTCCAGGACCCCATCTCTCACACCTAGGAGCTGTTGATGCGGATGCCTGAAATAAAGGGCAGGCCGGTGCCCACCTTCTTCTTGTATTCCAGGTAGTCCTCTCCGAAGAAATGGATGAGAGAGAGCTCCTCCTCCTCAATCCGTTCACGGAAGAAGCGCCAGCTGGCCATGGTGTAGCCCGCGATGCAGACAGGGTTGCACAGCATCACCTGGAACATTAGACATGGAAAAGTTAAATCAGTGGAGTGGGCTTGATTGTAACCTGTTTAAGAAACAAACATGTTTGGATTCTTAAAAGGGGAACAGAGCTTAGCTTATATATCAGCCTGCATGCTAATACTGCATGCTGCTGTGACTAGGGTTGCAAAATTCTGGTAACTTTCCCAATTTTGACATTACAGGCATGTACCTGTGTGCCAATGCTCCAGTAGAACCAGCCCACGTAGGAGGGGTGTCTGAAGAAGGCGTAGACCCCATCGGTGACCAGCACGTGGCTCTGGGCCTTCTCGTTCTGGACGATGTGGTTAAAGTTAGAGCCGGCCGTCAGCATGGCAGACTTACGCAGGAAGTCCCCACACAGCACCATCACCAGACCCACCAGGCTGAGCCAGCTCAGCTGCTTCAGCTCTGAGACAGAGGGAAAACGTTCACAGCCAATTGAGACATTTAACTCCTCGTGACGACATGTCATGCCATTTCAACTAAGACATGAAAAGTTATTGGCTACGTTCCAGGCTGACTACGGCTCAATCCCAATACCACCCCTTAGCCCTCCCCCTCCATTTTGCACGATCCCGGAAGCCACATTGAGTCGGAGTTGTGTTCCAATTCAACTATGAGTGAGGGGGTAGTGCGTTTTCAGCTCTCTAGTTGTTCCTCCAAACAAAGCAAATTGACATGCAGACTTCCTATCGAGTTGTTATTAAAACTACCATAAAGCTCTGCGACCCAAAGCTCTAAAAAGTTGCTTCGGGAAGATAGCTGACAAATACTAGGATGGAAGGAAATGTAATGAATTATAACTTCATAATGAATCATGCAAAGCATTTACAGTTATGAGGAATATTTTTGTTAAATGTAGAGAAAAATAATGCATATTTCTTGGTCATAAAGTTAATTTATGAAAATCGCTATTTAACAAGCTAGCTGACTAGCTAACATTAGCCAACTAGCTATACATTTAGCTTGCTATATGGGCGTTTGACATTTGTATGAATTGTAATTCATGTTGAAGGGACTACTGAGCAAACCAGGCTGTCATCTGTGAAACCCAGTGTATGTAAAGAATCTAGCTAACTAAAGCATTTACTGAAAATGTTATGTAAGCTTGCCTTGCTGTTCATTAAAAAATACTTCAGTCAATAAGTCAATCACTTGTAATTGTTCTTTATTGTAGCTAGTAACAGAACAGAGACTGCAGATATTTGCCAATGCAAGCAACATAGCAGTAGCTAACTATTTTCTTCCTTATTGTGTAGTGGAGGATAAAAAGACCTGTATGCTATGGATGTGTAGCTATGTAGCCGATCTGTGTATGGACCCTAAAACGTTTGGTAAGAATATTCGTTCAGAACAGTGGTTTTAATTGTTCTGGCTACAATGTTTACACTGGTAATGACAGAGTGAAGGGAATGCGACTGTTACATGTCAAACTGCTATGGAATGAAAGTCCTGCTTCAGTACTACTCCACATAGAACCACAGCCAGAGGATGGGTACATTACAGGCACATTGTTGTTTCTCATTTGATGCTCGTATTTGTTGCATGAGAACTATAAAAGAAAAGCTATTACTGCAGCCAGTATAGGCACTGTGAAAAACACAAGGCTCGTCGTCAATTAATTGTGTGGTATCCATAAGCAGTTTCTGATGTGCGCAAGTGTTTCTGATGTGCGCAAGTGATGTAGTGATGTCCCATTCCCTAGGCCTAATTTAGCTCTCCCTCCCACTAGCTGCTCCGTTTTCGAATGCCACTTACTCCCCCACCGAGGGACAGCGGGGGGTATTGGGATTGAGCCTACATTGCAGACGCCTGCCTGTGTAGAATGACGTGGTACCATTGGTTGATGCAATGCAACGCCAGCAATGTAGTCGGGCTGGAACGCAACCATTGAGCACAAGTGTGGTATGGAGGACAGACCTGGGACAGTGAGCTTCTCTATGGTGAACTCCACCCATGAGGAGACAGCAGCCACGGTGTACTCCACACTGTGGTTGAGCAGGAAGGAGTCCAGAGACAGGCTGCGGGGGTTAATGATGGCCGTCACCAAGTACTCCGAGTAGTGGAAGAAAGACAAGGAGCACATATACCTGTAAAGACATGAACTGACTGAGAACTATGCATAAACAGGTATCGAACTACAGTTGAAGTCGGAAGTTTACATACACTTTAGCCAAATACATTTAAACTCAGTTTCACAATTCCTGACATTTAATCCTAGTAAAAATTCCCTGTCTTAGGTCAGTTAGTATCACCACTTTATTTTGAGAATGTGAAATGTCAGAATAATAGTAGAGAGAAATATTTATTTCAGCTTTTATTCCTTTCATCACATTCCCAGTGGGTCAGAAGTTTACATACATTCAATTAGTATTTGGTAGCATTGCCTTTAAATTGTTTAACTTGGGTCAAACGTGTCGGGTAGCCTTCCACAAGCTTCCCACAATAAGTTGGGTGAATTTTGGCCCATTCCTCCTGACAGAGCTGGTGTAACTGAGTCAGGTTTGTAGGCCTCCTTGCTCGCACGCACCTTTTCAGTTCTGCCCACACATTTTCTATAGGATTGAGGTCAGGGCTTGGTGATGGCCACTCCAATACCTTGACTTTGTTGTCCTTAAGCCATTTTGCCACAACTTTGGAAGTATGCTTGGGGTCATTGTCCATTTGGAAGACCCATTTGTGGCCAAGCTTTAACTTCCTGACTGATGTCTTCAGATGTTGCTTCAATATATCCACATAATTTTCCTTCCTCATGATGCCATCTATTTTGTAAAGTGTACCAGTCCCTCCTGCAGCAAAGCACCCCCACAGCATGATGCTGCCACCCCCGTGCTTCACGGTTGGGATGGTGTTCTTCGGCTTGCAAGGAACCCCCTTTTTCCTCCAAACATAACGATGGTCATTATAGTCAAACAGTTCTATTTTTGTTTCATCAGACCAGAGGACATTTCTCCAAAAAGTACGATCTTTGTCCCCATGTGCAGTTGCAAACCGTAGTCTGGCTTTTTAATGGCAGTTTTGGAGCAGTGGCTTCTTCCTTGCTGAGCGGCCTTTCAGGTTATGTTGATATAGGACTCATTTTACTGTGGATATAGATACTTTTGTACCTGTTTCCTCCAACATCTTCACAAGGTCCTTTGCTGTTGTTCTGGGATTGATTTGCACTTTTCATACCACAGTACGTTAATCTCTAGGAGACAGAACGCGTCTCCTTCCTGAGCGGTATGATGGCTGCGTGGTCCCATGGTGTTTATACTTGCATACTATTGTTTGTACAGATGAACGTGGTACCTTCAGGCATTTGGAAATTGCTCCCATGGATGAACCAGACTTGTGGAGGTCTACAATGTATTTTCTGAGGTCTTGGCTGATTTCTTTTGATTTTCCCATGATGTCAAGCAAAGAGGCACTGAGTTTGAAGGTAGGCCTTGAAATACATCCACAGGTACACCTCCAATTGACTCAAATGATGTCAATTAGCCTATCAGAAGCTTCTAAAGCCATGACATCATTTTCTGGAATTTTCCAAGCTGTTTAAAGGCACAGTCAACTTAGTGTATGTAAACTTCTGACCCACTGGAATTGTGATACAGTGAATTATAAGTGAAATAATCTGTCTGTAAACAATTGTTGGAAAAATTACTTGTGTCATGCACAAAGTAGATGTCCTAACCGAGTTCCCAATACTATAGTTTGTTAACAAGAAATTAGTGGAGTGGTTGAAAAACGAGTTTTAATGACTCCAACCTAAGTGTATGTAAACTTCCGACTTCAACATCAGTTAGTATTGTGTGTAGTGTGTGTGATGGAGAGAGAGAATGTACAGGTGTTGGATGCTTACCAGCCAAAGTGTGTCCATGTGGTTTGGGAAAAGCTTATGATCAAGCCACACCCAAAAGTAAAACCAAGGAAGCAGGCTCGCACAGCAACCTGGGAGAAAGAGGAGTATGCTTAGATAACCTTTCTAACTTGAACTTGTGAAACTAGAAAGCTGGCACCAAATCAATAGTTAACACAATAACATAACCTTAGGCACGGCCTACCTAATTTCAATAGTGTTATCTAGTTTACAGTTAAATTAAGGCTCTATCTTTAGCCAATCAAGGTGACAGCTGTCTCAATCCAATTCAGCTAATAGGATTAGCCAGCTAACGTTAGCACAATACATTGTCAGAAAGAAGAGGGCCAATGAAAATTATTGATAATTTAGATAAAGCCTAGCTAGCTGACTGCCGTTTTGGATGATGGGCAAATACAACAGAAATCAAGAAGGCTAGCTAAGTAGCTTAGCTAATGTTACTGCTAGCCATCTTAGTTCAGACGTTAGTTAGCTACTACTGTAGTTCTTACCTTATATAGAGGTCCCTTGTATATGATTAGCAAGAAGCCATTGATAACAGCGATGTACACCGCAATAGCTATTTTCCCCCTCACTCCAGTGAGATAGTCGAATACCCAGTCAAGATGTCCAGCGAATGTTCTAATAAGGGGAATTATAACAACACCGAGGCCTAAAAGAAAGCTTATAATACTTATTTTTCCTTCTAATGCCAACTTATTGCCTGCCATGATGAAGTAACGTTACTCCCTATGGGCTCTCGCGAGTTTCCACAATCACAGAATTTCCTCACTAATCTTGGCTGCGTTCCAGGTAGTAACGCTGCGCAGATGATCAGTTCATCATCAAACATTTACATTTACATTTTCGTCATTTAGCAGACGCTGTTATCCAGAGCGACATACAAATTGGTGCATTCACCTTATGATAGCCTGTGGGACAACCACTTTACAATTATTATTTTTATATTTATTTATTTATTTTCTCTTTGGGGTGGGGTAAGGGGGGGTAGAATGATTACTTTATCCTATCCCAGGTATTCCTTAAAGAGGTGGGGTTTCAAGTGTCTCCGGAAGGTGGTGAGTGACTCCGCTGTCCTGGCGTCGTGAGGGAGCTTGTTCCACCATTGGGGTGCCAGAGCAGCGAACAGTTTTGACTGGGCTGAGCGGGAACTGTGCTTCTGCAGAGGTAGGGGGGCCAGCAGGCCTTCTCAGGAACCACATCAATATGGCAGCAATCTTCTGAGCACATCTAAGAAGATTGCTTTATTATATTGATTTTGTTCTTGACAAGTTAAACATTTGTCCAGGCATGGTGAAATTTGATCAACTGAGCAGCGCAACTCTAATAAAGACTACCTACCTGGAACGTCCCGTACACGTGACATCGAAGAGGACCTTTAACTATTTATTGACTGTAGATGGCGCTATAAAGCCATATAATCAAACCTCTCTCTACTTGAGGTCTAGACGAGTTTTTTTGACCAGGCATCACTTTTCTTAAATGGAGTGGAACGTATTTTTAGTAATGCTTAGGTTGTCTAGCAGAGGACATAGCACAGACTGAGATATCTCATCTGTCATGAATTTACCATACTGTTCACAGGAAACAAATTCAATAAATGGTAGTGGTCAGCCCAACTGACAAATTAGACTCCTGCTTACATTTGGGAATGGGAACCAGTTTTGTTACTCAACAGCCTGTTGAAACCAGGTTGTTTCATTATTCAAAATGAACTGTACGAAACAAACATGCATTTATTATCCAGATAAGACAGCACATCTCTCATTTGATTGTTTTGGGTACTAGCAATATGCAAACAGTGTGTGTATGTGTGCGTGTGCGTGTGCGTGTGCGTGTGTGTGTGATGGGTTGGGTTGAATGTGTGCCTGCTTGCATGTATAGGTTACATGGACATACGCAAAGACTGGTGGGCTGGTAGAGCTGAAAATTGAGAACTATTATGTACTGCTGGTTATTTGGGAAACACTTATTGAAGAAATGTGGTGTGCTCTTTATCATGATCCATAGATGTTGAGGTCATTTTTGGTGGATTTAAAATATTTTATGTTGTCAACTTATTTAGTAAGCAATAGAGCAGAAATTGACAATATATATCTTTTTTTAAAGCAGACATCATCCGTTTTTTTACTATTAACTTTTTACATTGCACATCAAATATATAATTTCCCTTGTGATGTAGCCTACCATGAGGCTCTACCATAGCCTATACTATACTTATTTCAACATATTATTCCTTTGTATACATACAGGAATATGGCTTTCAGTAATCTTCAAGTGACCATCTCTGCAAAGAATACTAAAGCAAAATGGCACATTTTATGGTATTTTTATCGACCAAAGAACATCACAGTCTGGACGGCATATACATACAGTATAGATTAAAATCTATGTCTTTACAAAATACCATTCACTATTAATATATTGCTTTAAAAAATAAAAATCTCTGGAAATATATACACCTCATTATATTGTAAAAAAATATCCCAGTCAATTCAGTTGCAAAATAGTGCACATCAAAAGAAATAGTCCACATCTTTAGCTCTTCAAGGTGTGAAGGGATGAAGATAGATTTGGTGTGAGAGTAACTTTGCATAGGGTACAGAAACTGCTCAATGTTACTATGCTCAGTCCCACTGCTGGTCTTGGTGTTTCCATGGAGATCCATACTGGATAAACAGTGGGGCAATATCTTCAGTAGGTAATGGAGACAGTTGTAGAGTATCTCTGGAGGACTTTGAGTAGCTGTTGTGGAAGAGCAGGGGACTCTTGACTGAGAAGAAGGATTCTGTGCTGGAGACCCCGTTGTGGAGTTGGCTCTCGAGCGCTGTGCGAAGCTTCTCCACCCTTTCAGTGCATTTTCTCTCAAGGATCATGACTTTACCCCTGTGGGAGCAGAGAAAGGAAACATTAGTTAAATAGCCCTACAATATATAGCTCCCATGAATGCTCAATTGAAAGACATCCTCATCAGTTCAATATGGTCCATTTGACGTGGTCTTTACCAGGTCTGTTGGTCCCTCATGTTGGAAGTGCTGTAAGGCCTTTGTATATTGCCTACTTTGAAATGAGGATGACTCAGTGTGCGATGTCTCTGATTTTACCCTTTCCCTTTATATCAGCTCTCACTACACTTTAATGTGATGCAGGTTCTCATAGTATTTTGGCCAATCATGAGACCCTCATGTGAAAATAGAAAGTTCATGAATTGCTTGAATTAGTTAAATACAATGTCCCTGATCCAAATGAACAGGTGGGAGGTGCCCTTTAAAATGCCTGCCTCCCCCATCCCATTCATAGCATGATGTGTTATGGATGGGAACTAACCAGTGAGCATTGCCTGGACATTTCACATGTTCAAGACATACTCCCCATCTCTATAGTGGTGGAGAAAAATGGAGATGTTAAGCATCGAGTGTCCATGACATAGAAAGGCATTTTCACTCGAAATTCCTTTACTGTGAACATTGCTAGAGTACTCAAATAAGATCAATTTCACTGCATCATATAAACAATTAAACCAACATTATTAAATACAAATTGACATTGTAATGCTATTACAATTGTAATAATGGTGGTGTTGCTACTATTGGTATTAGTAATTTGTATTGACTATTTGATTAGGTGGTAATAGCATAATACAAAATGTTTTTTTAATCTTGTATTTTCATATATTTAGTCAAAAAGTCATCATAATATCTAAAAGACTTTGAAGTTAGACTTTTTAAATGTCCTTTTCCTACATTCTCACGCTTTCTATTTCATCTCCCTGAGCAGGTCTCACATGGCCCATTGGGTAATTATAGTGTCCCATCTGTCCAGATGGTGTGCCTGTGAAAGCCTTGTGAGAGCCTTGTTGACTGCACTGTGGCTGGGCAGGAGGGAGGAGGGAGTAGTAGGGCATTGGTCACTTGAGCTTTGTGTGACAGGGCACACTTTCTTTGTGTGTCCGCCCCAGTGTCATTAACACTGAAGTGTGGGAAGCTCAGGACCATGGCAGCTCTCACATTCCACTGGGGCAGGAAGGGAGCTTGTGACTGGGACGCAGGCAGGGCGGGCAGCTGTGTGTGCTGTGTGTGTGTGTCTAAAGATTGTGGTGCCTGCATTTGGTGCCTGCATTTGTATCAGTAGATGTGAAAGTGTGCTATAAGAGTAGCAGCGCTGACAATCCATATCTACATGTGGAGCTTTCCAAAACTCAATTCTGGATATATTACTGGGTTGAAGTGAAGACTATTCATGTCATTAACTGCTACAACTGTGCAATGTTTATAACTCACAGAAATCTACTACCTGACAAATATACAGACCACACCAAAGTCAAACTTCAAACTTATTGTTGCCCCATCATCACCCCATTGATACATCTTTACATGACATTACACCAAAGACCCAAGGATTTTGAATAGCTCATGGATATGAACAGATCCTCATTGATATGAACAAGTTAGGCTATTGGAAACAACCTGGTCGATGAAGCTAGTGGACACACAGTACCCCCATGTTCTGTTAGACTCACAGCCCTGCCCCAGATCTCTCAGTCTGTGTGCCCTGTGCCCAAACACTGTGCTCACTCTTTATTCTGTGATCCTGGCAAGAGGCGAGCACACTCCTTCCTCTGGGGTCACCACTTTCCCAGATCCACAACGGCATCATGTCAGCCCCCCTCCCCCCTCCCTCTCCCTGCCTGTCCCCCCCACCCCTTCCTCTCCTTCTGCATCTATCCACCTGCTCCCTGGAGGCACACTCTTTGTCCTCCCAGCAATAAACACTTCATTGAGCATGTGGCAACCCGGCATCTCGCAATGCCCCTCCCAGCCCTCCCATTGGCTCCGGACTGTGAGAAACTCCAACAAGCCCAAGACCCACACATTCATATGGAGATTTAGGAGTATAAATAGGTGGGAGAGGCAGAGGGAAGACAGCACATATCCAACTGGCTCTTTACCGAGACTTCAGCTCAACAGAACTACTACTGCCACAGCCATGGCACCAACAATGATTAGACAGATGACCTACTCTAAGCAGCACCTCTCACTTACTAAGGTAAACCAATGCTTTGAATACATATGTACAGTACATTTCAATCTTATTCTACTGTTGTTGATACTACATGGCAGATCAAGTTGACTAAACTGTTCCTTGTTTTCTCTTTGTGCAGGTAAGGAAGCCAGTGGTGGAGAAGATGCGCAGGGATCGCATCAACACCAGCATCGAGCAGCTCAAGGCCCTCCTGGGTCCCGAGTTCCTCCTGCAGCAGCCTGACTCCAAGCAGGAGAAGGCCGACATCTTGGAGATGACCGTCTATTTCCTGAGCCAACAGCACCAGGCAGGAAGTTCCTCCACCGCAGCAGCCAATGAGGGCTACTCTCGCTGTGTGCAGGAGGCTGTCAGCTTCCTGTCTCAGTGTGAGGTGAAGACACAGTCCCACAGCAGGCTGCTGTGCCACTTCCACTTCCACAGCCTGCAGACATCCAGCCAAAACAGCCAGGCTCCCAGGTCCCTCTCCCCGCTGGGCTCCCCAGTCCACCAGGCCACCACCAAGGGTGTGATGAGACCCGTCTCCCATCCACTCTGGAGGCCCTGGTAGAGCAACGCTTCAGACCTTTTCATGTCAGACAAACGGAAATGGACAGGCCAGTCTATATTATGACAGGCATGGACAGTGGTGTTCGGAGTGACGGAGGTCTACTTCTTTCGCATTTGACAAGAGATGCTACGTCGTTAGTCTTCATCCAGATGAAGCAAGGGCATGTTTCGCCAGTATTCCTTTGAAAGGATTCTATCAAATTGTTCAGATTGGTCTGGATACATACTCTGTATTTGAAAATGTACACTGATTTAATAACAGTGTTTCTCTTATGCATGTTCTCATTTGAGAATCTTAACTCTGAAAGTACAGTTAAATTATGTTAATAACATACTTGTTTTGTATTTCTAACCCATATTGAGTTGCTACTGTTTGTGTCTGTGACCACCTGTTTGTTTGACATTTTCAAACTATTTACAATGAATTGTCACTGAATGAAACAATGTATCAATTTGATGATGTATCTGTATTATCCAACAAATGGATCCAATGGATCTACTCTAAATGTAAATCATGTTATGATTATGTAAAATCAATGTTATTGATAATACAGTATTCAATGTTCAAAGAATATGTTAAAAAGTTCATTGTAACTTCGAAGATACACCTTTCATAAAGGATTTTGTGTATTCAACAAGAGGTTTTGTAAAGAAAAAAGCTTTTCTGTGAAAAGTTTGTTTGCCTTTATTGGTTTAAATGACACTTTATTTGGAGTGACATGGCATCAAGCATTTGAAAATAAATGACAAACTTAAATTGAAGTTAATCTTCTCTGTCGTATCGAGTCATATTTGCACATCTGCACAAAGTTCACCACCCACATCCATTCTGACTACATCAGTAGTACGGCTAACTTTTTCATCCACACATTTATAAAGAAGACCACTCTGGTTAGTATATAAAACATATTGGTTGATTGACTATATTCACAAACCTACATTTAGATTGTGAATAGCACCTATCCTACTTTATAGAGATGTCAGTTCAATATTGGTTCCTGATTGATGAACCAAAACCTTGAAACATATTGTTGATTTGTGGTTGGACAAAACCTATGTAGCGTAAAGTGATGACTTTTTGTCAGAGGACTGCATGCCCATCACTATCAAGGGCTCCCATCACGCACACACCACATTACTGAGGACACCTGTCTGAATTCATAACCAATCTACTATATATGCCTATACTTTACTAATATAGAACATAACCTATTATTCTCAACTGGTTCTGTCACACCAATTAATCTGAACCAAACTGTTCAGATGCCACGGACAGAAGTTGGTACATCAGCATTATCGACTTCAGACGCGTCCCGTGACACTTGTTGGGGCCGTAGAGCAAAACAGAGAACACCATCGTGTTCGTGTGAGAGTCTAATCCTTCCATAGAGTGGGGATATTAGTTTGTATGTCGTTCGGACGATACAGACGTTTTCGTGAGAAGACCGATTTTCGGGATGTCTCATGATCTGTCTCATGGTCGCTGTAGCTCGGCCACCTTCCACCGCAGATGCGGAAGGCTGACATAGGCTGATGCGGTCGATTGAGATGCAGCCCATGCAAAAAAACATATCTCTAGCTTAAACAGACAGATTTTGATGGGGATTTTTGTATTACGTTACTTAGATTGACGCCCGGGTGCATCAATAGACTCTTAAGGATTAAGAAGAGTTAACTTTGATGACTTAAAACTGTCATATTTAAAATATTTTTGTCAAGTTTTTGTTCCAACCTCATCGCTAACACACCTGATCCAAATAATCAACTATGGTAATCATGTTGGTCAGTCTGGGCCATGACTAGCTGAATCAGATGCATTACTGCAGGGTTGGAAAGCCTGCACACCTACCAGTAGTTCTCTAGGATGGGATCGAGAGCCCCCACCCTCCTGCTCTAAAAAGTATCATTTTTATTGTTGCAAAAAGTTTGAAACAACTTTCTCAGGGTTAGTCCTGCAGATGGTCTGGCGGTGACTACGGAGCCCTCCCTCCAACCAGAGATCAAATACCGTGGCTAATGTGATGTGTAACAAGACACACTTCCATTGTCCCCTTATTGAGGCCGGTGAATGGACAGAGAGTGTGGGAAACAGGAGCTAGCACACTCCCAAAGGCAGAGGACTGATGGGAACCTGCCTTACTCCGTCGCAGGCCTGGCAATCCAGAGTGTATGGCAGGAATTCAGACTCACTGTTGTCTATCTGTGGGTGGGTCACTGTTCACACACACTAAAAGACCCCAGACAAAGGCTAGCCAAAACCTTCCCGTCCCCACACTGTCAATGTGGTCAATGCACAGCTAGCCAAAACGGAATGTCAAGCTAACAGTAAAAAAATGTTTGGTATAGATGGAGTTGACAAATTCCCCTTTATGAGTAATTCTAACTCCATTGAAAACATTCAACGTTCTTCCAGGCCAAAGTGGAAGAAGAAGACAGGGCGAACTTGTAGCTCTTTGTCGATGTGCAAGGCCCCATTAACTTGATTTTTTCCAGATGGTCTGTGACATAGGGTTTCTGTTTGTCTTGCAACAAAGGATCAATTAACATTCCCAATGGGGCATTGAGGGAGCGGCCTGGCTTTTGTAGCTCATCTACCCCAGTGCTAGGGACTGGTGGGAAACTAGGGAGAGTACTCTCCTCACAGCACCCACAGGCCAGGCCAGACATCTGTGACCTTTGCACTGCCTGAAACACAACCATTGCAGTCTGCCAGTGACTGTGGCATTGTCCCCAGTTTCCCCTCTCTGGTCCAGCAGCACGTAGTCCAGCATAGATCATAGATGAAAGTTCTGGGATTTTTCTTGGGAAAGTAACAATTTATCTTATTAGTTACAACGTAGTTCCTCTTGTTTGTATTCAATGCCACAATATTTACCGACCATGAGATATAATACCTCTTCAGTCATACTTTGAATTGGAAAAATAAAATAAACACTTGTTGTGGGAGAATGCATTCTTGAATTAACCTTTCCTGGGGGCGATAAATCCACGTGTGGGCATGAGCTGTCTTGAGCTTTCCCACACTCAACAGCCAATGAGAACAGAGATACAGACAATAGATAACACAATGGTTAACTGTCTGTCAAAATGGAGACTGCTTGTCTGGACGGAGTGTGTGGGATGTGTGTGAAGGGAGTGTGGGGTGTGTGACAAAAGTCTGAAATATACATAAGTGTGTGTAACCCCCACATTCCAACACAGCGACAGCCATCTGTGTCAATGTGAATGTATTCTTCATCAGACATTAGCATAATATAGCATTAGCATCATTTTTATAACAAACTAGCCTAATGGTTATGATACCACTAACTTTCAAAAGTGTTGTAACCACACTGTTGCAGTATTGACTGCATATATAAAATGAATTGTATCCAAATGTTATGTATTTTATTGAAACTATGCAACAATTCAACTAATATATGGTTAATTACAACAAAAATTGTCTGGAAATAAAGATAACTCTCCAGAGTAATTTTGTTTGGTAATTATACTGGCGCGATTGTGTTAGAAATTAAAGGTTTCTCAGGACGTCAACTAAAATATTTGTTGCACTGAAATTACTTAGATCTTTTCTTTACAGTCTAAATGATCCTCTTTGAAGAGGGCTCTTCCCTTCAGAAGTGTGTCTGCTTTTCACTTGTTTTTACGTCATAATTTTCTCATTTGATAGGTATGATAACCCAGTTGGAATGTTAATTGCATGTATAATGTTTTATCTATTAATCAACAGTTGCTGCTTATCTTGGGAAACATCCCTGTGTTGCCTCTACTACCCCATTACCCATCAAGTTATTGATGTTTCTCCTAATGTTGCGATGGGCAGCCTTGTGGTCTCAGTAGTGTGGGAACCCCAGCCAAGCCTGGGCCACATGGCTTTGTCATGGTAATCTCCTGCTATATAAAGAGGGAGAAATCCCTTAGAGGGCCCAGACCACACTGCAGCCTATGAGAACTAGCAGACAGACCTGTCACTCTCTCACACAGACAGACATGGCTCCCTGCTCAACCAACTTCTCCTCTTTCCACCACCAGAGGTTCGCAGAAAAAGACATTAAGGTATGTAAATTGGTTCAATCAATGTGTATATACAGTATAAAGTGTGTATGTTTATTGTAGCTTTTTCCGTTTATAGGTGTCATATATTAGAGCTGTAGACTAATCAAATGTTATTCTCTGCCTCAGATAAGGAAACCCATCGTGGAGAAGATGCGTCGGGATCGCATCAATGTCTGCATCGAGCAGCTCAAGCTCATCCTGGAGAAGGAGTTCCACAAACAGGACCCCAACACCAAGCTGGAGAAAGCCGACATCCTGGAGATGACCGTGAGCTTCCTGAGGCAGCAGCTGCAGCCAGATCCATCTCAGAGGGACTACGGCGAGGGTTATTCACAGTGCTGGAGGGAGTCTCTGCAGTTCCTGTCCGGAAGGCCCAAGAGAGACACCACTTCCACCACCACCTCCGCTGGACCTCTTCAGGGGCTCCAGCAGCAGCTCTACTCCCAGGCCCAGACATCCAGCTGCAGCCCAATGGTCCACTCCACCTCCCCAGTCTCCTCCACCCTCCGACCCATCAGCAACACCACCACTATGCTCCAGGACACAGGAGCTAAAAGCCCAGTCTGGAGGCCCTGGTAGAGAAAGACACTGGACTGGAGTCACTATAAAACCTGAGGGAAACAATGGACTGTATGTCCCTCACTATGTAGGAAATATGCATTTCCAACCTGCTCAACCGTTGTGGGTTTGCTGAGCTCTTAATTTCTCATCACATTGATGGACAGATATGTGTGGCACATTAGTGGCATATTGGAAGTGAGGGTAGTCACTTTTTTGTGAAGATTGTTTTTTCTCTTTCTTGTTTTATCAAATTAGATTTTCGTTTGCAGTGAAGAATGTAGCTAATTATTGCTGATTTTTTTCTTACTCCAGTGGAGTCCATGTGTTATATGATAGATGTAACAGCATCTACAATAGGCTACTGTATTTTCTGACAGCAATTCTTTGAGGATATTTCTCTATTGTTATTAATTGTTTTGTTATGTTATGGATGTATCTTTTATAAAGGCGATAGTATGTTGGTATGCTTTGTAATAGCACTGTTATTTTTCTGATGTTTTATATTGCGTTTAAAGAAGTTCTTAAAACTATGTATGACATTTGTATGACAATAAAACTACAATCAATTTTAAATAAATAATAACCTGAGTCTTTTGTCCGGGATTGTTATTTTTGACCAAATTGTATTGGATCTTGCAGTCCATACATACACAATGTCTTGTCAAATTTGACTAACAAATTCAAGAACATCCACATATAACTTTTGCAATAGTTTCCCCCTAAGAAGCTTGGGTTAAGTATGAACATTTTGCATTATCGAAAATAAAGTTTTACACATTAAAGTGGAATACTACCACTTTTAAAACCTAATTTATTATCTCCATCACCAAATCAGTGTCTACATACATTTCTACATTTTGTAGTTAAAAAGTGCAATTTGATGATGCCATCAAAAGTTTGTAAAAAAAATTATTTAACAAAAGTGATTTTCAATTTGCGGTGACACTGGAAGCAGGAAAATGTCGTTGCAGATTTTGAAAATCACAGTTTTTTAATTTAAAAATCTTGATGTCATCGAGTTGGACTTTTTTTTAGGACCTTTCTTCTTATCTTTTTAACCCCAGAATGAAGAAATGTGCAGTTTTCACATATGTAGACAGTAGACACTGGTATGGTGCTGAAGATAATGACTATGAGGTTGAAAAGTGGTGGAATTTCCCTTTAATGAAATACAAAAAAGGAAAATGAGGTAATATTATTTGTTGGTTTATTTATTTCAAATAGCGCTATACAAAGAAAAGTATATTCATTGATTTAAGGATAAATAATCATATGCAGATTCTTCAAATAGGGTACTGACTTGCACACTTAGATTGAAAACCTAGAACTATGGGACATGCGTATGGGTCTTTGGCATAGCTGGGTTTAAATCAGAGGCTTACAGGCATCTTTATGGGTTTAAATCAGCTGTCCCATTGAGCTCCCGAAACCTGCCACCACAGATGCCCAGTGAGAGGGCACACAGACAGACGGGCACTCACACCAACAGAAGGCAAGGCACCTCTCTATGGCCTGCCCACACTACCACTTTCTATTCTTCTAAAGAGAGGCCAAACATATGCCATACAGACACTGAAGAAAGAGCACAACACCAGATGCAGCTAAAGAGGTTTAGCTTTGGTTTTCTGAATTCTCCCCAGTAAAAACACACACTTAGTTAAGTAAAAAAGGAGTGCTTTAGAAAGCTAACCATATAACTACATTACAACCATGTGTGACGAGTACTGAGTATACGAAGAAGCAGGACGCAGGCGCAGGAATTAACAAGGTCAAGGTTTACTTAAACAATGACAAAGAGAAATAACAAAGAAAGAGTACACGACACGAAGCTAAACAATCACACACAACATCATAAGGAACAGTCCAGGGCTAAATAAGGGTGGTGATGAGATGATGAGGTGCAGGTGCGATGGATGTGATTAGGGTGCGTTGGGTTTCCATTCCGGTGTTGCCGAGGTGGTGCGCTCAGACCGGTGGCTCAGTAGATCGGTGAATTAGAGCGCCGGAGGGGAGCAACGGGAGGAGACGTGACACCACGTTAGAGAACATTAGACATACACTACCGGTCAAAAATTTTAGAACACCTACTCATTCAAAGGTTTTTCTTTATTTTTACTATTTTCTACATTGTAGAATAATAGTGAAGACATCAAAACTATGAAATAGCCCATATGGATTCACGTAGTAACCAAAAAAGTGTTAAACAAATCAAAATATATTTTATATTTGAGATTCTTCAAATAGTCACCCTTTGCATTGATGACAGCTTTGCACACTCTTGGCATTCTCTCAACCAGCTTCACCTGTAATGCTTTTCCAACAGTCTTGAAGGACTTCCCACATATGCTGAGCACTTGTTGGCTGCTTTTCCTTCACTCTGCGGGTCTGACTCATCCCAAACCATCTCAATTTGGTTGAGGTCGGGGGATTATGGAGGCCAGGTCATCTGATGCAGCACTCCATCACTCTCCTTCTTGGTAAAATAGCCCTTACACAGCCTGGAGGTGTGTTGGGTAATTGTCCTGTTGAAAAACAAATGATAGTCCCACTAAGCCCAAACCAGATGGGATGGTGTATCGCTGCAGAATGCTGTGGTAGCCATGCTGGTTAAGTGTGCCTTGAATTCTAAATAAATCACAGACAGTGTCACCAGCAAAGCACCCCCACACCATAACACCTCCTCTTCCATGCTTTACGGTGGGAAATACACATGCTGAGATCATCCGTTCACCCACACCACGTCTCACAAAGACACAGCGTTTGGAACCAAAAATCTCCAATTTGGAATCCAGACCAAAGGACATATTTCCACCGGTCTAATGTCCATTGCTCGTGTTTCTTGGCCCCCAAGCAGGTCTCTTCTTCTTATTGGTGTCCTTTAGTAGTGGTTTCTTTGCAGCAATTCGACCATGAATGCCTTATTCACACAGTCTCCTCTGAACAGTTGATGTTGAGATGTGTCTGTTACTTCAACTCTGTGAAGCATTTATTTGGGCTGCAATTTCTGAGGCTGGTAACTCTAGTGAACTTATCCTCTGCAGCAGAGGTAACTCTGGGTCTTCCATTCCTGTGGCGGTCCTCATGAGAGCCAGTTTCATCATAGCGCTTGATGGTTTTTGCGACTGCACTTGAAGAAACTTTAAAAGTTCTTGGAATGTTCCGTATTGACTGGCGTTCACGTCTTAAAGTAATGATGGATTGTTGTTTCTCTTTGCTTATTTGAGCTGTTCTTGCTTGGTCTTTTACCAAATAGGGCTATCTTCTGTATACCCCCCTACCTTGTCACAACACAACTGATTGGCTCAAACGCATCAAGAAGAAAATAAATTCCACAAATTAACTTTTAAGAAGGCACACCTGTTAATTGAAATGCATTCCAGGTGACTACCTCATGAAGCTGGTTGAGAGAATGCCAAGAGTGTGCAAAGCTGTCATCAAGGCAAAGGGTAGCTATTTGAAGAATCTCAAATATAAAATATATTTTGATTTGTTTAACATTTTTTTGGTTACTACATGATTCCATATGTGTTATTTCATAGTTTTGATGTCTTCACTATTATTCTACAATGTAGAAAATAGTAAAAATAAAGAAAAGCCCTTGAATGAGTAGGTGTTCTAAAACATTTGACCAGTAGTGTACACTTAAATGTGCAAAGTCAACATTTACTTTCTGCTTAGCTAAGAGCAGAGCAACATATACTATGGCATTTTTAAAGCCATCTACCTATGCAATGGATTGGGACTAAGTATCTGGAAATACAAAAGGCAAATCTATGATAAACACATATCTTTCACTGTTTGTTCATGGTATACATCTGAATACAGTTTTGGAAATGGGCTGTTGTGTTCATTTGGGGCCTCAGCACCATGATGTAGACCTTAGGCATGAAGTAACCACCGAGTATACCGAGCACACTGGACACAATAGCCAGCACATGCATGGCCATGGCAAACTCCGCCCTGGTGACAAAATAGATGGTGAAGAAGCTGATCCAGGAGATCATGTAGACCATGAGACTAAAGGTGATACATTTGGCCTCGTTGTAGTTGGCTGGCAGGTCTTTGCCCATGTAACTGAAGGAGAAACAGAGCATGCTGAGCATAGAGACGTAGGCTAGTTCTATCATGGCACCGAAAGAGAGGGTGTTACTACACTCTATGACAATGCTGTCGGAGTAGAAGGCCACATCCTGGGAGGGGTACGGGGGGTTTAGAGCAACACGGAGCACAGAGATCAACAACACTGTCATGGACACGACAAGGACGGTGACTTCCGGCCCGTGGTTCTTAGCCCAGGTATCATAGGCACGGGGCAGCTTGGAAGACAGCTTAAAGATGCAGACCACCTGGAAGGAGCGCACGGTGACGCACGCCAGACACACAGTGAAGCTGAAGACAAACAGAGGCTGTTTGAGGAGGCAGGCGGGCCGAGATGGGAGGCCAAAGTGGCACAGGGCGCTGGCGGCCGCCGCAGTTAGGGCCAGAAGCATCACCAGGCAAGTGCGCCCGCCAGCTGACTTGGCCACAGGGGTGCCAAGGTTGAGAAGGAAGACGACCCCTGACCCAAGGGTCATGAAGAGGGTCAGAGCCAGGAGGAGCAGCAGGGCAAGAGACAGGGGGGCGTCCCACGCCAGCAGCAGGACCATCCGATCAAGACACACCTCGCTCACCGCTGTGGACCACTGGTGGAGCTCACACGCCTGGCACCAGGTAAATCCTATAGAGTGACATATATATCATAACATCAAGGCTGGGATTAGTTCAACATTTATAGGATTTATTTTAGTTCAACCAGTTCAGAAGATGAAGGTGTTTACATTCATTAATTGAGTTTACATATATCCTCAGTATTGATTTATAAACAGATATCACTAATATTCACACCATCAGAGACACTTGCACTGTCATTGTTATTCTAGTTGTGTTACTACCCCCTGCTTGCTATAGATCAGGGGTGTCTAACAAATTTTGCCCCGGGGGTCCGCATTCGGTCTTCAACGAGATCTGGAGGGCCACACTGAAAATGGGTTATATTTCCTTGCCATCAAAATTAGCTAAAAATAGTCCTCTATCCATAATGTTTTGGCATTTTTGATGCTCTCTGACTGTCTAGTGATTATTAGTGAGCTGGACAGTCAATAAACTGTATGAATGTAGGTCCATAGTCGTTTCTACACAGTTTCGATGTAGAAATTACTCAAACCACCCATGGGCCGGATTGGACCCCAGGCCATATGTTTGACACGCCTGCTATAGTGACAGTTCATGAGAGGGGCAACATACGCCACCTGCTGGACACTTTTAAACAGCACAATTCAAAAACACTACAGATAAGAGGATGAACTATGGATGTGTGCACAGTGGGTGTGTGACTGTAATCTCACCAGTCTTGTTGAGGAAGGTGTGAGCAGGACAGGCCAGGCAGTCGAAGCAGCACTTGTGTTGTCCTGTCTGCAGCTTCCTGTGACCTGTAGGGCATTCTGGAGAGCATATTGATGGAGGCACCTCCTGGACACAACCACAATAAAAAAAAACACACACGCACATGTTCTCCAAGTCCACCTGCAACCATGGTTTCCACTCTCTATGACCACTTTCTACAATTCTAGTGCCCAAAATTATTCTGCAATTTCATCTGACAATGGATTGTAATACTACTGTGTAAATACTGTAATACTGTGCCTATACTTTTCGCAGGATGTCAATGTCACTAGCCCATTCAATTTGAGCAGGGTCCACTGTGAGGTCTGTGGGGTCTGGAGTGTAAGAGCCCACCACTCGGAGAGACCACTCTGTTCCCCTCCAAACCCAGGTCACGATGTCATATCCTGTGGGCGGGTCTCCGTTCTCATCAAAGTACACAGAGGAGTTCCCAACAGAGAAACTCACCTGCTTTAACAGTGGCAGAAGCTGAGGGAGAGACAGAGGAAGAAAAACATGCACCAATTTAAACATGACTGTAACATACCTGTGATAGTGAACATTGTTCACTGTAGATTTCCAATAGTACATAGAAATCAAGTGTGTAGTGAACTTGTGCTCGCTTTCTTTAGAGTGGGCTTTTTGACTACAGTACCATCATTTTGAAAACACTCACCTGCCAAGGTTGTACTTCAATCTTTTGGCATTCACCCGAGTCACAACCAAGTGCTTGGTGCAGTGCATGGGCCACAGCATATACAGCCTTGTAAACATTATAAGAGGATGTCATGTCATAGCCATCCAAAGATACGTTTTTTACTGCCATGCTATAGAGATCCGTATTTTGCAAACATTCAACCCTCAGGTCAATCATGCCATTGGAGTTGTCCCTAAGTAACTTTGAAACAACATGGCTTTCGAACTCCTCAAACCCTGCTATGGCTGCGTATTTGATGGAGATGCCTAGTACAGTCCCGATGGTATGAATCCCTGGTATCCCCGACACTAGAGTGGCCACTGACCAGTCCTCTGTCCCTATCCACACCTTACCAGTTACACCCTGCTCTATGACAAACGGGAAGAACCCACTAACTTTGCTCTTGCTGGAGAACACAACAATAGTGTTGACCTTGGTCTTCAAGATGTTCTTGACTATGTTCCTCATGGACTGGTTGGTGGCCGAGGTGAGTTCGGGGAGGACTCCTTGGTAGGCGATGCAGATGTCGTAGTATGGCGCCTGTTGGGAGAGCCTCTGCATGCCCTGGAGGCCGTAGGAGTTGTCACTGCCCAGTAGAACTATCCAGGTCCAGTTAAAACGCACCAGCAGCTGGATCATGGCGTCCACCTGGTTCTTGTCACTGGGTATGGTGCGGAAGAAGGATGGGTAGAGGTGCTTGTTGCTCAGCAATTCGTTTGAGGCTTCATAGGAGATCTAGAAAAAAAAATACACAAATAGGAGGAGGAGGAGGACCAGGAGGGGTAGGAAGAAGAAAACATAAAGGATACATAAATAGAAAGAAATATGAAATCATAGGAGGCAAGGAGAAGACATATATACAAATATAAATAGAGGAGCAACAGAAGACGAAAACAAATCGTAACAAATGTATTCCATTCTTAGTCTAGAGGGCATACAGACTAGCATTAGTTTTACCAGTTACCAATAACTGAACTTGGGAAATACAATGCACCTGTGGCACTAGATAGGAGCCCAGCATTGCAGCAGGGGTGAAGGTGTAACTGCTACTATCAGGCCCAATCACTGCCACTGCCCTCTGGTCACCACCTGTCTTGTTCCCTGAAGTTCCCTGGTACTGTTGGGCCAGCAGGTCCAGAGTGGCCAGGACACTGGCTGGTGTATTGCAGATGTCATACGCCTGGTAACCCAGCGTCACCCCTGGGAGAAGATGTTGGTTTTTGGTGCCGTTGTTGATCTCCTCCACAGCGAATCTCATGGCTTGTATCAAATGATAGCCATGTTTATTAGATTTGCCTCTGAATAGGAGTGAATTGATGGCAAGCAGAATAAAAAGACATTAAAACATACATCCATTATCTAAAGAAAGTGATTGAGTCAAGTCACAATAACTCACTGATGCTCTAAAATTAACGAAAATACCAGTGAAATAGATTAACAATGTCCTCTTGTGAGATCTTTGCTATTGGACTTACTTATTGCAGGCTCCCAGGACTGGTAGGTTGGAGCTGGAGGTGGCTAAATTGTGGAGCGGAAAGAGACACGAGATGGAGTAGTCCCCTGAAAGCTGCAGACTGTTTCCCTCAGTCCGCTGGTGGCCAGTCAGGACCAGTACCAACCAACCCAGGACGACACACACACCCATACCTCAATTTCAACAAGCCTCAGCTCTGAACTGGAACTATGGACATTCTACCTCTTCTTATATTAGGATGGATGGATGGGTGGAGTGGAAAGAAGGTGGAATGGAGGGAGAGAAGGAGGGAGGGGGATGTGGATGTGGAGGGTTTTGCATCTTTCCTGGTGATGGTGATGAAGTGAGACACATTTGCATTTTAAGATTTGTTTTTCATACAGTAGAGTTAGCTTTCCATTGAAATGAACTGCATAAATGTAATAGCCCATGAAAGAGGAGTCCGGTGTGTCAATATCAATCACAGTCAAGTGACAGTGGAATTAAATGGTGTTCGACTTTAGTTTCATGGCAGTATCGGTGGTATGTTGGACTCAAGGTGCAGACTGGGCCGCTAAGGTGCAGGAGTGAAGAAGAGAGCCATTGCACACTTAGAATCAATGCAAATGTCATATTGTGGCTAACCTTTCAGTCAAAGCAATGTAAATCAGAGCTGGTTTATTTTTTCTGTCTAATCTGTTTTGTTATGAGGGACCATGTCTATGTTTCCTCAGCCCTATGTTCCCCCAAATGCACAAAGTGCCATACAGAAACCCAGCCTAAAACCCCAAACAGTAAGCAATGTAGATGTAGAAGCAGGTGGCTAGGAAAAACTCCCTAGAAAGGCAGGAACCTAGGAAGAAACCTAGAGAGGAACCAGGCTCTGAGGGGCAGCCAGTCCTCTTCTGGCTGTGCAGGGTGGAGATAGTACATGGCCATTAAGGCCAGATTGTTCTTCAAGATGTTCAAATGTTCATAGATGACCACCAGGGTCATTCAGAGGTCTAGACAGCAGGTGCGGTAGAGAGCGAGAAAGAGAGAGAGAGTCAAAAACAGCAGTTCCGGGACAAGGTAGCACATCCGGTGAACGGGTCAGGGTTCCATAGCCGCAGGCAGAACAGTTGAAACTGGAGCAGCAGCACGACCAGGTGGACTGGGGACAGCCAGGAGTCATTAGGCCAAGTAGTCCTGAGGCATGGTTCTAGGGCTCAGATCCTCTGGGAGGGGAGGGAGAGCGGGAGAGAGAGAGAATTAGAGGGAGCATACTTCAATTCACACAGGACACCAGATAAGACAGGAGAATTACACCAGATATAACAGACTATTGCAGCATAGATACTGGAGGCTGAGACGGGGGGGGGGGACACTGTGGCCCCGTCCGACGATACCCCCAGACAGTGCCAACCAGGCAGGATATAACCACACCCACTTTGCCAAAGCACAGCCCCCACACCACTAGAGGGATATCAACAGACCATCAACTTACTAGCCCACGAAGAACTCCAAAACAGCACGAGCCCAAGGGGACACAAAACCGGACAGGAAGATCACGTCTGTGACTCAACCCACTCAAGTGACGCACCCCTCCTAGGGACGGCATGGAAGAGCACTAGTAAGCCAGTGACTCAGCCCCCGTAATAGGGTCAGAGGCAGAGAATCCCAGTGGAGAGAGGGGAGCCGGCCAGGCAGAGACAGCAAGGGCGGTTCGTCGCTCCAGTGCCTTGCTGTTCCCCTTCGCACCCCTGGGCCTGACTACACTCAATCGTAGGACCTACTGAAGAGATGAGTCTTCAGTAAAGACTTAAAGGTCAAGAACGAGTCTGCGTCTCTCACATGGATAGCGACAGGTAGCTTAGTGGGTAAGAGCATTGTGCCAGTAACCGAAAGGTCGCTGGTTCTAATCCCTGAGCCGACTAGGTGAAAAATCTGTCGATGTGCCCTTAAGCAAGGTACTTAACCCTAATTGCTCCTGTAAGTCACTCTGGATAAGAGCGTCTGCTAAATGACTAAAATGTAAATATATATATATATATATTAAATGGATAGGCAGACCATTCCATAAAAATAGAGCTCAATAGGATTAAGCCCTGCCTCCAGCTGTTTTATTAGAAATTCTAGAGACAATAAGGAGGCCGGTGTCTTGTGACCGTAGCGTACATGTAGGTATATACGGCAGGACCAAATCGGAGAGATAGGTAGGAGGAAGTCCATGTAATGCTTTGTAGGTTAGCAGTAAAACCTTGAAATCAGCCCTAGCTTTAACAGGAAGCCAGTGTAGAGAGGCTAGTGCTGGAGTAATATGATCAAATTCTTGGGTTCTAGTCAAGATTCTAGCAGCCGTGTTTAGCACTTACTGAAGTTTATTTAGTGCTTTATCCTGGTAGCCATTGAGTGGAGCATTGCAGTAGGTAATCTAGAAGTGACAACAGCATGGATTAGTTTTTCTACATAATGTTTGGACAAAAAGTTTATGACTCTTGCAACGTTACGAAGATGGAAAAAAGCTGTCCTTTAAATATTATTGATATGCACGTCAAAAGACAGATCAGCCCTATGTTCCCTCAGCTTTATGTTCCCTCAGCCCTATGTTCCCTCAGCCCTATATTCCCTCAACTCTATGTTCCCTCAGTTCCCACAGCCCTATGTTCCCTCAGCCCTATGTTACCTCAACTCTATGTTCACATTTACTCTGTGTGTATCAGATCGTATGTTTAGCATAATGCTGCTTTTCTAATAAGCAACTTGGTTAGGTTCATGCGAGTGACTGATTAATTGTACATGGGAGGAATCCACACAATCACTGTATAAGCAATTTGGCAGTACACCCAGAACATTGCTCTGGGATCCAAAAGGAGTATCTCAGTTTCAAGGTCGAAAGCCTGGTGTGGTATCAGTCAGTCTCATGTAGGAACCAACCATGCTTTTAAGACTTGTTTTTGTAGCCATATAAAAGGACTGAAAAGGGAACGCCCCTTTTCAGAGTTTCATCAGGCTTGTATTGAGTTTGTGAACCTCTCCGGCCGTGATTATATAATTACATTGCTTCATTTACTTTGAATTTGAGTCCTTAGTGGTGAATTTCTACGACACCCTCAACTCTATGTTCCCTCAGTTCCCACAGCCCTATGTTCCCTTATCCCCATGTTCCCTCAGCCCTATGTTCCCTCAGTTCTATCTTGTAAACCAGGGGTTGGCAAACCAAATGAGAGGAAGAGCCATTTTTCAACTTCCAGTCACCGGTCACCAATGATTCATTACTTCAGTGGGTCCTAAGGCCCTATCATTTTACATATTTGAGCCAATTCTAAAAATTACTTGAGTAGATGCTGAGATACTCTTTAAAAAAGAGAAAATGCAATTCAGGCTGCTGGAATATTGACAAAAAGTCAAGGTCATAGTGATTGAACATAATTCAGTAGGTCCCCCCATTTTGCCCTCAGAACAGCCTCAATTCCTTGGGGAATGGACTCTACAAGGTTTTCGAAAACGTTCTACAAGGATGCTTTCCCATGTTGACTCCAATGATTCCCACAGTTGTGCAGTGGTGGAAAAGGTACCCAATTGTCATACTTTAGTAATAGTAAAGATACCTTAATAGAAAAAGTGAAAGAGACCCAGTAAAATACTACTTGAGTAAAAGTCTAAATGTATTTGGTTTTAAATATACTTAAGTATCAAAAGTAAATGTAATTGCAAAAATATACTTACATATCAGAAGTAAGAGTATAAATCATTTCAAATTGCTTATATTAAGCAAGCTAGACGGCACAATTTTCTGTTTATTTATTTATTTATGGATAGCCATGGCCACACTACAACACGCAAACATTATTTACAAACAAAGCATATATGTTTAGTGAGTCTACCAGATCAGAGGCAGTAGGGATGACCATAGATGTTCTCTTGATAAGTGTGTGAATTGGACCATTTTCCTGCCCAGTACTTTTGGGTGTCAGGGAAAATGTATGGAGTAAAAAGTACATTATTTCCTTGACGAATATAGTAAAGTAAAAGTAAAAGTTGTCAAAAATATAAATAGTAAAGTACAGATTCCCCCCAAAACTACTTAAGTAGCACTTTAACCTCTTAAGGATCGGACCCTTTTTTCCCATTTTCGCCTAAAATGTCATACCCAAATCTAACTGCCTGTAGCTCACGACCTGAAGCAAGGATATGCATATTCTTGATACCATTTGAAAGGAAATACTTTGACGATTGTGGAAATGTGAAATTAATGTAGGAGAATATAACACATTAGATCTGGTAAAAGATAAAACAAACAAAAAAACATGTTTTCTATTTTATTTTTTATTTTTATCATCTTTGAAATGCAAGAGAAAGGCCACAATATAATATTGCAGTTTAGGCACAATTTAGATTTTGGCCAATAGATGGCAGCAGTGTGTGTGCAACGTTTCAGATTGATCCAGTGAAGCGTTGCAATACTGGACTATATGGTTTCAAGTCTGCCCAAATGTGCCGAATTGGTCAATTGATACATTTTCAAGTACATAACTATAGAGAACATACAAAAATTATATGGTAATACAACATTTAAGTTTACACACTCCCAGGAATGTCATACATGATGGATCATTAGCCTATACACTAACTTCCACACATCTAGATGGCCGGGCGGAGTGGGTGTGGAGCCAGAGACAGCAGGGGTTCAAACTGTAGAACTCAGTCCCTACATTTGAATAAAAAAATTGATTTGATCAAACAAAACTATGCTACATTTTATCTCTGGGACCCTTAGGATGACAAATCAGAGCAAGATTATTGAATGTAAGTACATTATTATTATTTATTATTATTATTTACCTTCAGAGATGAATGTATCAAACCAGTTGCCGTGATACGTGTTTTGTTGTTGTGCACTCTCCTCAAACAATAGCATGGTATTTATTCGCTACCGTAAATTGGACAGTGCAGTTAGCTTTCTGCCCATATAAGACATGTCTATGTCCTGAAAAGTTTGCTGTTACTTACATTAGTCATGCTAATCACATTAAACCACGTTAACTCAATCGTCCCGTTTATGGGACACCGATCCCGTAGAGGTTAAAGTATTTTTACTTAAGTACTTTACACCACTGCAATAGTGTCAAGTTGGCTGGATGTCCTTTGGGTGGTGGACCATTTTCTTGAATGTTCTGTATAATCATTGTATAAAAATAAACATGTACAGT